GGCAACTTATTTTAATCCAGATCGTGGTCCTATCTCACCTGATGCTTGTAAAATGGCTTTGGATACTTATGGAGGATTTTGGGGACCTTTTGTTTCTTAAATTACTGCTGCATGCATGCTATTCATTTTATATTTTGCTGTTTTGACTCTTAGACCTATGTGTAGCTGCATTGGATAGTACTGCTAAGAAGTGAAATGCTTTCAATCAGATTTACTTTGTAAATTTGAACATGCATTGTTTGCTAATTGAATTCATGTTATTGCTTTTTAATAGCCTATTGTTTTACTAAGTTTGGGTGTGTCTCCCAGGCTATAGTTTCTCATAAAAAGATGCTTGCAGTTTTAGTTGTTGGAGTGTTCCTATTGGGACTGGCATCAGGTGCTTCACCTAATGCTAATCTACCTCATATTGTCATGATGCTTGTTGATGACTGGGGCTGGGCTAATGTTGGATATCATCGGAATCCACCAACACGTGAAGTTGTTACACCAAACATTGATAAATTGGTTAAGGAAGGCCTGGAACTCAATCAGCATTATGCTTTCAGGTTCTGCTCTCCTTCTCGCTCATCGTTAATCAGTGGAAGATTACCAATTCATGTCAATGATTTGAATCTAGCACCAACTAACTACAATCCAAATGATCCAGTTTCTGGTTTCTCAGCTATCCCACGTAACATGACTGGTATTGCAGAGAAGATGAGAGGAGCTGGTTATGCTACACACCAAGTAGGCAAATGGGATGCTGGAATGGCAACATCAGACCACACACCAAAAGGACGAGGATTTCAGACTTCATTTGGTTATTTTCATCATGCAAACGATTATTATACAGAAATAGCTGGGAAATGCAAAATTCCAATAGTTGATCTATGGGAAACAGATAAACCTGCTCATGGTATCAATGGTACTGGACCAGATAATTATGAAGAAGGATTGTTCAAGGAGAGAGTTCTTAGTGTTGTAAGCAACCATGATCCTAGTACACCTCTCTTCCTGTACTATGCTCCACATATTGTGCATGCGCCATACGAAGTACCTGATAGATACTTGAATAAATTCAGTTTCATTGATAATCATCTCAGGCAGTATTATCATGCAATGGTTAACTATCTTGATGATGTTGTGGGTGAACTCACTGATGCTCTCAAGAATAAAGGAATGTGGGACAATCTTCTCTTTGTTACTAGCAGTGATAATGGCGGTCCAGTTCATGAAGGAACAGGTGCTAATAATTATCCACTGAAAGGAGGCAAAACAACTGATTGGCAAGGTGGTGTACGTGTCAATGCTTTCGTATCTGGAGGGTATCTACCAGAGAAGATGAGAGGACAAAAGACTGATGGATACATTCATTTGGCTGATTGGTATGGTACTTTCTGTGCTATTGCTGGTGTTGATCCAACTGATGAAAAAGCTGCTAAAGCTAAGCTACCTCCAGTAGACAGTTACAACATGTGGCCGTTGATATCAGGTGAGACTGATACCTCCCCTCGCACTGATGTCCCTGTTAGTAATGTCACTTTAATCAGTGGAGATTATAAGATATTAATTGGTAATGTTAATGAAGCAGGATGGACTGGGCCTCAGTATCCTAATCAAACCAATCCTAATGGAGGAATAACAGCAATTGAGCATTGTGGTGATGATGGTTGTCTTTATAATATAAAGGACGACCCTGAGGAAAGGAACAATATTGCTACCAAAGAGCCAGAAATGCTGAAAAAGATGCAAGACAAATTGAAAAATTACCAGGCAACTTATTTTAATCCAGATCGTGGCCCTGTCTCACCTGATGCTTGTACAATGGCTTTAGATACTTATGGAGGATTTTGGGGACCTTTTGTTTCTTGATTATAAATAATTTAATTATACTGCTGCAGCTGTTATTGTGTAGTGATGCTGGTTTGTTTGCTATTTTAGGAATTTATTTTGCTTGCTTATCTGAGCTGGATCTAGCTGATAATGTATTTTTAAAAAAGGAGTGTTTTTAGGCGTGGCTACTGGCTAGAAATAGAGTTCAGAGATCATAGATGCCTTGGGGATAGTAAGTAGATCTAGTCTAGCCAGCTTTAGATTTATTTTAAACTTATTTATGTAGTTTTAGAAGACGTATACAAGCTCAGCTAGAGAGAGATGTAAGTGACTGGGTGATATTCAGATCACTATGTGAAACAAAACTTTACTTTTAGCTCTCAGAGTCCAGGCTGATGAGGAGGTTGGCTCAGTTGAGCTTATACCAGTTCTTCAAACTCTCAGAATTATGGAGTAAGCACCTTTTGCTCTCAGTAGGCATAAACACAAGAGCATGCATCCATTAAGCTACATGTATAAGGAAAACAACAATAATAATTATTACAGACTATCGTTACAGGTAGTAAAAGATTACCTCCAACTTCTTCAAATTTTATTGAGCGATTGAAATTATTCGGTGCTCATTTTAAGGAGAACATAGAGAAGGAGCTAAAGGATTTGAAGTTACCACCAAAAAAAGACAATAAATAGATCTATCATTTGTACAACACTCTCTATAAAGTCAATGTATATAATAATAATAACAGTCTAATAATATAATTTTCATAATAAATCTCTATGTCTATTTGCTAATTTGTCCCTTCTATTAAAATTTCTCTCTATCTAAAAAAAGAAACTATGACCGCCAAACTTGAGCTTCAAGAGATAACGTATCCTATTCTGACTCTCCTTGTAGATCAAATACTCAGTCTGCAATGAAAGAATTGATGCAGTAGCAGTGATGTTGCTTCTTCATGCATTACCTGAGAGAAAGAACTTGTGGAGTATTTTTGTTGACTCTTAGGCTTGCCCTGTGGTACAGTAACAGTCTTACCATCTATGGTAATAGTAGTGTCTAGAGCTGGGTCTGATGGAAGAGGGAGAGAAAAGTGTAAAAAGAAACAAATTAAAGAAAACAGAAAACTATAAATATTATAACAAGAAGCACATATAAGAAGGCTATTATTAGCTGACCTGGTTCAGTGTGACCTCTAGCTACAACACTGTCATGACCGGCAGGTGCTTTGACCAAAGAAGAATCATCTCGAGTGATGGAGTGCTCTTTTCCCAATGCAACCTCATTGAGAAACATGATCCCAATATTATTAGCACATCCAACTAATGTATATAAAAAAACATAGAATACCTGAATATTTTAACGATAGATAGTTATACTAAAGCATAGATGGTTAATAAAGAAAGGAATTACCAATCATCTACAGTAATAAGAACTTACTTCAAGTACTATACCGTAGGGCGCCTTTTTTTCGAGGGCTATGAATTTCGTGGATTTTTATTTCGCGGATTTAATTTTCGTGAATTTATGCCGTCTGCCATCTTGTACCGTATTGATTTGATTTTCGCGAATCTTTAAAAAAATCGCGAAATTTATAGCCCTAAAAAAAAGGCGCCCTACAGTATGTATTATTTAAAAAGACTAGATCATAATATTTACCATATCCTGCAGATTTGCTGTTTTCAGAGGCAAAGTAAATTCCTCTGCCGACCCTTCCCCCAGAGTGAGGCATTATACGTAGACCACTTTTCAAAATGGCGGCAACGACAGCAACGTTAGTTCCATGCCATAAAAGTCGTCTGTTCTCAATGGAGTCGTGAACAGAAAACCTTTCAGCCTGTTAACATAAGAGAAGTAGTAATAATTAATAATTGCTGCGTACATGCTAAATTTTAAAATTTTGTAAAAAATCCAATTTTAATCAGAATTAGCTCAACACTTACACACAACATAAGTATGAATCAAAAAATGCAATAACAATTATGAAGTAGCCACATAACATGTAGTATAGTCCACATAACATGTAGTATAGTCCCCATCACTATGACTACATACTATTAGGCATCAGACATAGTACTACTAAATTACCTCTCCATCTCTACTGACTCGCCATATATCAACTATTTCCAGTTTACGATAAGAAGGCTCGGTCTGTCTAAGATAGGTCTCTATTATCTTGTAGTCAGAGTCTTCCTTCTTCACGTGCTCCAGTTTTGCTTTTAGCGAGGCGTAGTTGACGTCAAACTCATGGGGAACCTCTTCAATATCGGGCTGCTCTGTCTTAATCTTGTCTTTCTGTAGCGACTGAGCTATCTCTATATCTCCTAGCACCTATGGGCAGTGAGTTTTAGAATAATATGATAATTTTATAAAAGTATAATAATTTATACAATTTTTTTACTTATCCCATAGTTAGCCATTGTGAAGCAGTATACACTTACATGTAAATGTGCTAAAAGTTCATCTAAAGCATTACTGTCAATATACCATAAATTTGGTGGAGTAAAATTTTGGAGTCATTGGTCTAATTTTAAAGACTGCAAATTTTCTAGCTCTATATGGCATACAACTGTCTTGCCTGCCTCCAGTTAAGTGATAAGGTGACTTACAGTTAACATGTCAAATTTCTTCTGCAGGTGCTCCTGGTTGTCAATGACAGGTGGTATCCGGCGACCAAAATCATGAGGAATGATTGTGTAAAATTTTGACGAGAGTTCACTAAGTTTAGCTCTTGAAGCTTTACTCTGGAGGGCCGATTCTAGTGCCTCTAGTGCCTATGGTAGTAAAATGACACACTATTATGTAAACTGGTGAAATTCCAGGCATTTCTAGCCTTTAGAGTTTATTTTAAAGCATCACCAATGAAATATAGCATACACGAGATTAGGTCTTACATGTACATGAAATACAAGAGTCACAAATGTACAGCCTAAGTACATGTACATGTACTCCTAATAGTATGTACCTCAAATCCTTTTGCAATCTGTGCTTTGCTGAGTTTCCCTAATGGCATTTTCTTTGTGTCTGTTAGACAAAAAACATTTAAATGAAGACCCAAAATATAATATTAAAATATCAAAAAAAGAACATTAAAAGAGAATCTTATTTTTACAGCCATCATAACTGACTCACCAATTTCAAGAGTCTTCATGGCTTCTCGGAACATGTCGTTGTCAAAGATAAGTTTGACCAGGTTCTGCGTTGGCTTGTCCAGAGTACAGGGTTTGATCTTCTTCGGTTTACCCGTATCCACGTCCTCAATTACATCCTATTCAACAACAACACTCATCATCATTCATCATTATGGCGTAACCAGCCCTTTCTCCACTCACCATTGGCTCATCCTCATCGTCGTCCCCTCCCATTTCAATGAGTGTGTATTTCCCGGCGTGAGGGGTGAAGGAGTCCCGGTCGGACCAGTCGTTCTTTGTCTTGTCTTTGAACTTTTTGGCGAATTCCTTTGTTGCGGCATCCATTGCGTGGAAAGGGCCTTTCATTGCATTCATGCCAGGCTCTCCGACACGGCCCCACCTGAGAAATAAAAAAAGTACAAATTTGTGATTAGTGCTATAATCTTTAAAAGTGAGGACTTTATTTGAAATTACATCACGCCAGCTGCAAAAACAATTAAATCAAATTATTATTCAATGCAACATTATACATTTTGACACTGACACCACCAAATTATTTATTATAATAATTTCGACATACTTCAATACAAACGCACCTATTCCATACGTGAAAATAGCCCGAGTTTTTATTACTAAGTAGTTGAATAACATAGAACTTGTTGTTGTTATGTCCAATGTTCGTCTGATTCAGCATGCAGTCCCAATCATCAACAACCTATCATTAAAGGTGCGTAAAGTGGGTGGAGTCTGTAACCGTGGTTACCTCGTAATTGGTGTACCAGGGTATGTGTGTGTCTACAGTTCTTTGTCGTTTTCCTTTCTCTTTCTTGTCGGCTTGTCTAAGAGCAGCAGCTGCTTTGCTATACGTCAGTTCGCCTTCAGTCGTGTCAATCTCCTCCTCTCCCTCATCCTCTGCTGGGTCTTCTGTCTTTGCCTGTTAATGGACATTAATAATAATATTAAAATGCTAGTATTTTTGTTTCAATTATTCTGATCATAATCACCCAATTATAACATAATGCATTAAAATTTATCATTTCAAAATCAAGCATAAATAACATAATCATCTGAAATTTGGTGGCGCTTAATAATTTGGCAACTTTGCAGCCACATGTCAGTGAGCGTGCTCAGAATAAAGCAAAATGGCGGTTTTTATTTTGGCGATTTTATCACTGTCAATTGCCAAAATAAAGCTCTGTGCAAATTTTCCCACTATACGGTAATTCACAATTGACTGTTTTTTTACATTGTGCAATAATAAATTAAAAAGTAATAAAAATACTCACTTTTTTGGTAGTGGATGGCTCATCGGACGACTTCAAAGAGTCAGTGAGTCTTTGAACTAGCAGTGCTTTCTTTCCAGTCGTGTCGAGTCCTTTTTTACTCAGTTCAGCTCTTAATTGTGTGACAGTAAGGGCTGCTGGGTTCAGAGGAGCTACTGCACTAGTCGTGGGCTCATCTTCTTCTTTGGCAGCTGCTGTCTTTCTTTGTCTCTTCTTTGGAGGCATTGTGTGGAATCAGAGCCAATGGCAGGTCTTGTGTTTGGTTGTTTACAAAAAACCAGCTCAGAAACAAGGGCAACGCCCAAGGAACTTAAATCTTAATTAAATTAAAATTTACGCCCTAAACAAGCTGGGCGTTAATATAAATATAATAGACCTTCTTATTTTTTAATGATATCAAAATTTCTTTTGTGCGTATAAATTTCAAATTTTTAATTTTAAATGGATTTTTAAATTCAAAATTTTGAATTTTGAAAATAATTGTTCTAGATCTACTACCTATAGATCTAATGTATCATGCTTCATTAGATTACCCTGCAAGTCAATGAGGCATTAAATTGAAACTGCAGGATAAAAGATTATGATGGCAGGCACAGCAGATGGATAAACAGGATAAACTCATTAAACTCACATGGATAAAAATCTGAGGTTAACGCCCTCTTTATTTCATTTTGCATGAATACACCCACGCCTGCGTGAAATTAAAGACAAGCAGAACTGAAGAAATGGAACACCAGGCTGATCAGCTTGTAGCAATACAGCAATCCTTGGACCAGTTCTTGTCCCGTCCGCGATCAAGAACCACTTCGAGCAGTTTCATAATGAAAAGGAGAAGGACCAGATCGATAGAAGACGAGAACACGAGACTCAAAGAGATGCTACAACAGTCCTTGAAGAGAGAGTTGGACGGGCTTAGCAAGATAAAGCACTTACAAGAAATGTACCAGGACCTGCTCTACAGGACGCACAGCAATGGAGAAGACAGCAAACAATGTAAGCCACTACAGCCTATGATTAAAAACACGTTCATCTCTCCTCCTCTCTCTTTGCCATACAGATCAACTAAATTGTCCAGAAAGCCCTACCTCGGTCAGTTTTGTTTTGTCTGCTAAATGCATGCAGTACTTGAAAGTGTACGATTTTTATTTTACCACACCTTTTGCATCATAGAGAGGAGGGATGTCATCACCGAAGCTTGTTGTTGTACAAGAGTCCGCTCCAAGTCAGTTTGTTATTGTTTATCTGATATTTGATATGCTTCATATCTTATCTGCTCTCTAATGTAGTAGTGAATCAGAGTGATGAAGAGAGTCCTGGAAATGCAAAGGTTAGAAATTGTTATTATAAAACACATGAGATAAGAATAGAGAGAGAGAGAGAGAGAGAGAGAGAGATGAAGAATAGAATAGATAAATCAATTATTGTTCAAAATGTATCAACAAGTTAATAATAATAATAATGTTAAAGTGTTGCCAAATTGGCATCCTTGCCTCGCCAAACACCTCCTTGAAGTAGCTTATAGTAACAAACATGATTTCTCTCTATTGTATACTATATGGCTAAAAGTGGCACATTATACCATATGACTTACCATCTGGTATTTGTAATGTTGCACTCTACAATACATCAACATTTCTTAGAAATTGCACCGTGACATCTACTTTTTGTATGTCTGCTACACTGCACAGTGCATTAGTAGTAAAGCTATAATACTTTATGGTATGTTTCATTTTTCATTCCAGACTAATGGTGGGTCTTTCATCTTTACAAAACAAGTGAGTATACCCATTGGCCATGGGATTGTTATTAACAATTGATATATCACACTATCCTACTATCAGTTATCGCCAACTCCTTCCCTTGGAGCAACAGGAGGAGGAGGATCAGCGACCAGTACACTGGCTCCCATTCCTATTCTCCTGAGAGACGTTAAGCAAGAGAGAGAGGTACGGAAAACAATGCATTGCCTTTCTGTTTCATTATAATTCTATTGTAAACAGAAACCACCTACTATTCTTAAGGAAGTGACTTTTGCGTGAGTTGCCGTGCATTATCTATACACATTCATTGTACCAAAAGTAGATAATCTTTATTTGTATAAATTTCAAGTTACATGTATAATATTTATTATATTTTTACATTGTGGATATGTACACAGGCAATGTGACTTAGCTTACATGTACATATGCTCACGATAATCACTTGATATTCTACTATACTATGAATTCTTTGTCTTAGATTTTCATAATTAACATTATATTCAAATGTAACATTGTGTACGCATGTACATGCACTCTTTCAAACTCTCTTCTATCAACATTATAATCTATTCTTTATAGCCCAGAGATGCCGAGTGATGATGTGAAATCAATGTCACTGGATCAAAGAGGTAAGAACCATTATGGCTCACGTGTTCAAGCTCCTCTGTTTGGTGCACAGCTCTTAATAGCGAGTTCTCTAAGAGTGATGAGCAGATACAGAGGAAAGGTTTGGAGAGATCCCGTTCGAATGGAGATGAAAAGATAAACGGTGAGTTGTTTATGTTGTGTTAACATTCATTTACCCTTTTGTTTTCTTTCTTTCTTGCTCCGGCAATAGTAAGACAAAGGTCTGGATCATTTTGGAAGCGAAGGCCTCGTCCTCCTCCGGAAGACTCTAACCCTCCGTCTGATTACGTTGATAACCTGTTTCAAAACTTTAAGAAATCAGCTAATATTAAACCAGACCCACTTAGCGAATATTTGGTTTGTTCTTATGAATGAATGAATGAATGAATGAATGAATGAATGAATGAATGAATGTATATGCATGTATGTATGTTGTTAGTATGCATGTATGTATGTTGTTTCGGCACATATGGCATGTACATGAGTCTGTGAATGTGTTGTATGTATGTATGAATGTGTTCTGGTCCTTGTAAGAGCATATGTTGTCATAACACAAGGTGTTGTTATTGCATTTCCCCCTCCTGATGTCTCCCAGTTTCCTCTTCTCTTCCTAGAAAATGATGTACTGAACCAAATCAGATATCCTCTTTTTATTATTTTTATTTCTATCTTTTCCTTCTACTTTCCTCTCCGTGTACTTTATCCTTTTGTTTTATATATTCCCTTCTCTCCCTTTCTTCCTCTCAGGGCCTCCATTGGTCAGTATTCTGTACTGACAGGAACTGTAAGTCAAGGGAAGACGAGAAATACAGAGATGCAGTCTGGGAGCTCTTTCAAGCTGAGACCAAATACTTAACAAAGCAGCTCCAGCCCTTGGAGCAGGTGATTCATGTCTTCCTTTATGTCATTGTCACTTCATTCAATGGATTTGCAGGTTTACAAAGGATTTCTTGAAGAGCTTCACTTTCACAGGGTCCTAGAGGAAGCAAAGATAGAAAAAATATTTGCAAACCTTTCAGAGCTTTGTGAGGTAAGGGACGCTGATACTTAGAGCTATCATTGAGTCTCTTGTTAAATCATAGCTGAGCTCTTCCATTGCTAATGACCTGCTGAAGCTCTTCGAAGGTCGTTCACAGGATAACGTGGCTCTCCCAAATGAGCTAGTCCTGTCCTTTAGCATGGTAAGTGTCCCTATTTAGTTATAATTAGAACCTCCTTCCTCCTCCTCATCATCACCCCTTGCAGTTTGGACACAAGTTCAATCCGGTTTACAAGACATTTTGCACTAATTTTGAGCAGCAAAGAGGCTACATCAAGAGCTTAGAGAAAATACCAACTTACCACGATTATCTAAGAGTACGTTAGCTACTAGCTCTTATTATATTGGAAAGAGGAAATTTGCCATATTTTTAGTGATCACTAAGTTTTAATTGAACAAATTTAAGCATGGACAATTTTATTTGGCCAAATTTCTCCTGCCTAAAATTAGATTATTATATATGATATTATTTATCATTCTTTTTAGTTATGCAGGTCAAGCCCGTCTGTACAGAGAAGTGACATTAATGATTTACTCATAGCCCCAATGCAGCATCAGTGTCACTATCAGTTGTTACTGGATGTAAGTGTTGCTGATAATGGCGTGGCATGGTGGTGATGAGTGTTTTGATAATGATATAATCACTTGTTACATTGAAATCTATTTTACTTAGAATGTGCTTAAGCACACCACTGATCCTAATCACAGAGCCGTTCTGCATTCGACAATAAAAGCATTTAAGGTGTCATTAAGTAAGCTTTGACCCCTCTCACTCGTGTCTCTAGCTCTCCCTCTTCATTTGACTAATTTCAAATATCTCACTCTTTCTCTCCCTCCTCCTTTCTCTCTGTCTCTCCTCTACCCACACTTCTCTCCCCCACCTTCTCTCCCACCTCTCTCTCTCTCTCTCTCTCTCTCTCTCCATTTCCTTCTTTTCTCCCAACAGAGGAGCTAGAATCAGCCATTGCTCAGCAGAGATGCTCACTGGAGCTCCTTGAATTGAGTGAAATGATATACTGGCCTCCTGTAACTCAGCTCTCAACAGAGAGCTTCATTCCACAGGTGACCAAAAGATTCCATGCACTTACTAACATCAATGAAGCGTGTCCTAGCAATGGCATGAGAGTGTAGAGTAGAATGGCAAAAGTTCATTTCTGATTCTTATGTAAACTGTAATGAGTGGGTCATGTTCTTGTACAATTAGCAGTCGGCTTTACGGTTGCAATAAAATGTGAACAATTCCTATTTTTCAGACACTTATGGATCATATTCGTGAGCAGCCCAGCTCTTCGCTTCTAAAGTCCTCAAACTGTTACCTCAAGCTGCAAGAAACTTTCAAACTGTTGGACTCACGGGGTCGACCGTATTCTGACGTCCAATTGATATTGCTCAAGGACTTGTTACTGATAGCAGAGATAAAGGGACAGCCAAGCAAGAAAGTTAGCCATTTCTCTTTGATGTTCACACACACACACACTCATTTTGGTATACCATAAACACACATACACTTCAAAAGCATTACTATTAGTACCGGCATGCTATAGAAAAGCTAATGCATTATGTTTTAAGAATATTTATGCAATGATTCATGACATACCTGTAGTAGGAAAGTAATGGAGGAAATGAGAAAATATTTGGAAAGAGAGAGAGACAGAGAGAGAGATGAGGAAACGAATAAATTAGAGTAAATGATGTAATATGAGACAAACAGCATGAATGAATACTGAGTAGGGAGAGTTGTAATAGAATGACATAATTGTTTATTTACAACTTGCACACACACACACACATACACACAGACTCACCCATATCACCTACTCCATCAGCCTTTCCCTCCTAACTGTATCAAAATACACTTACCTCCGGAGTCACCACGTCCTGTCATCACTCTACTCTGTCACTCAACGCTTGGTCAACAACTGGCAGTCCTATCACTATTAAGTACAGGGAATGAGGAGAGGAGTAAATGGGTCAATCAGCTAACAAGTCTAGGGGCTAAAGAAATCTGAGAGATATTATAGTGTACTCATTATTAAATATGTGTCCATCGTTCATAACTGTTTTCAATATTTTATCATTAATTTTATATAATGATCATGTCAGCTCTTATTATTATAAATGAAAATCTCGACTAATGCGTGCACTGTGTTAAAAGTAAGTCAGGACTAAAAGTTTTGTACGGTAACTATTATAATATTCAACTTAGAAGCACAAACAAAACAATACTTAATAAAATTTATGTAGAAATTAAGTTAACAAGTTGTAGTTCAATCACTAAACTGTGTACAATGATATAAAACCATATGCTACTGAAAAAGGCCATCACAGTCATAGTGATGAATTAAAGTTGAAAATATTTTTTAATCTACGAGCAAGGAATGATTAAAGACTGATCAGTTGATATATAAGTGAGAAAAGCTATTCTTTGGTATGTTGGACGTATTCTTCATCATGAGTCTCCTCCTCCTCCATTTCTGGCGGTGGAGGTTTACGAAGGTCTTCATGAATATACATGTCATCGGTAAGTCCCTCAACTATATGTCCGTTGCCTCTTAGCAGCCATTTTGTTGTTAATAGACCGTCCATCCCCACGGGACCGCGGGCGTGAATCCGACCTGTGCTTATGCCAACTTCAGCACCTAAACCGAACCTAAACAACAAAATGAAAGGTTTACATTTACTGAGAAATGAACATTATTATAGGCATAATCCTTACAGATGAAGTTTGTAAGTTGATAAACTTACATCAGGGTATTGTAAGGGCCTTATTTGTTTTAGATTTAATTTTCTATTAGGTACAAAAAAATTTAACTGATACTTCACAGATGACATATAAGAAGGGTTAGTTGCATGCCTGCATGTGTCATTAATGTGCCTTAATTAAGGTGTGGTGCATGCTTTGGTTAGTATTAGCAGATAAACATAAAAACAAGAGGATCATTGTAACCTAATGCAGCATGTAATAATTATCCCATTAAACTATGCTGCGACTGAAACAACCAGCCCACACACCATTTAAACAAACCTTATAAATGTAAGTGGATAGAGAAATATAATGATAATGAAATTAATACACTACTGCTAGTCTAAAATCATATTAAAGATAAGAATATTAAAAGCTACTATAGTATAGTATAGGTGGACTATTAATATTTTACCACAACATTCCAGGAGTCATTATCAGTCATTATCTAAGTAACAGGGTCAGTGAGCACTGGAGGGGGGAGAATGCGGAGGTACACCTCCTATTATTAGTTCTTCATTTCTCCCACAAAATTCTCCAAATGTTCTCAACATTAAATTGTTAGACGTACCACAAACTCCCGCCCACATTAATTATAGAGATGAGCGATCAAGTCATGTACAAGTACATTTATGTACAAGCTATGTACAATGTAGTGAATGTATATGTACACAAATATCAAAATAAAATAATTACAGAGACAGCAGATGTGAAGTGCATGTCGACGATGGTGCCTACCTATAGCCGTCGGCAAATCTGGTGCTAACATTGTGAAAAACACAAGCACTGTCCACTTGTTGGAGAAACCTCTCAGCCACGTTCACTACAAAATAAAAACAAAATAAATACAAATATAAGCATGATTATTAATATTAATTAACACAGACAGCTAGACACACAAACGCACTGTCTTCAGTTACAATAGAGTCAGTATGGGCGGAGCCATGAATATTAATGAGGTCTATGGCCTCCTGTAAGTTATTGACTATCTCCACAGAGCACTCCAGCCCACTGTACTCTTTACGGAGCTGGGACACACCCCCTGTCTCCGGGAAGGGTAGCAGTGATGCCATTTTAGGACCTGGGTAAAACTTGACCTGGAAAAATAAAAGTGATACTTCAATGATCTTCAAAGATATACACATATATCATGTACATGCTTACATGGCACATGTGTTTGTTTGTCTCATTCAAAATTGATTCTCAAGGAATGATAATTGCTATGTAATTGTGTACTAATATAGAGAGAGGGTGCTACTGGAATTATAAGGAAAGATGTACATCCAAAACATTCCAATTTGCTCTCCAATTAAAAATGACAAGAATTATAAAGAGATGGCAAAGAGAATGTTAATTTATATATACATAATATACACAGACTCATTTGTACATGTAAATGTATGTACATGTACGTATGTAATGTATGCCTACCTTATAGTCTCTGAGGGTAGCGATGAGCCTGTGAAATAAATCTTTACCAACAAGGTCACGATGAATGAAGAGGTTCTCCATTGAATTACAAGCAGCTGGATAATTACACTTACTATCAACAACTGAAATAGAGGAAGAGAGAGAGAGAGAGAGAGAGAGAGAGAGAGGAGGGGGGAGAAAGATAATAACAATATAGAACATAAAATTGATTCAATTCAAAATACAACTTCAAAGACTCACCAACTTTAATAGCTTTCTCCTTATCGGCAAACCTGTCCACATAAATTGAGCATATTCCCTCGGAGTGGCCCAGGACTGGTATCTTCCCCATCGATTGGTTCTCTATCGATTTGACCAACTCGTTGGATCCACGTGGTATAACCAAATCAATTTTACCCTCTAATGAGAGGAGCTCACTCACTTCCTCCCTGCCATCAACCTATGACACATACAACATCCCATGAACATTGAACAGCTAAGAAATGTATAATATATTAATTATAATAAGAGCTAGTATTGAAGGATATACAAGTGGACGTACAGCTATTACACAATAGATTTACTAATAATAATGATGATGATGGTATTTGGGATAAAGTTATAATGCAATGAATGATGCCACATGATCTTTTCATGCTTTAATTGCACACATGGACAGGTGACATTAAAGTATAAAGGAGCACATTTCTTACCAGCTGGACAGCAAAAGGACAGTCGTAGAGTGATAGTGCCTCCTGTACAAGCTTGTGCAGGCAGTGATTGGTGTATTTAGCTTCACTACCACCTTTAAGAAGGAGACCATTAGCAGTTGCAATGGATAGTCCTGATATCTATACCAAAGACAATATAATAATAATCAATGAGTATACGTGTGGCATTGTGGTTTGTCTCAAATGAATGTTTAGATTCCTTCCACTGATTTAAAGGATATTAGATTTCATGATCAATTACACAGTGACTGAATATGATATGATATAATGTATAATAGATATTATTATTATTATTATTAGGAGTCAGGAGTATAATTTAATGATATATCGTGTTACTCATGAGTGTGGTGGCCTCGTGACACATCAACTGAAGACAGGATACACAAAACATCCTTTGTTATAATAGTATGACTAACTGTTGAATTCTAAAACTGATTAAAATGTACTAGCTTCACTAGTTTTACTCATACATACATTGATGTCCTTATGCTGTGCAAAAAGTTTGAGCTGATTACCACAAATAATTTATGAGTTATGAGTATTTAAAATGAGCCAATTTTTGAAAAAAATCAAAGGCTATAGCCCATGGTTTTTCTTAAAAATGGCTCCAAAATCACCCCTAATTTTTATTACATTATCTGATACACATTGATGTCCTTATGCTATGTAGAAAGTTTGAGCTGATTCTGACTTAAAATTTTTGAGTTATGGCCGTTTTTTAAAAATGGCCAATTTTTGAAAAATACCCAAGGCTTATAGCCCATGGTTTTTTCTAAAAAATGGCTCCGAAATCACCTCTGATTTTTATTACATTTTCTGATACACATTGATGTCCTTATGCTATGTAGAAAGTTTGAGCTGATTCTGACTTAAAATTTTCGAGTTATGGCCATTTAAAAAAAATGGCCAATTTTTGAAAAATACCCAAGGCTATAGCCCATGGTTTTTTCTTTAAAAATGGCTCCGAAATCACCCCTAATTTTTATTACATTTTCTGATACATATTGATGTCCTTAAGCTGCGTAGAAAGTTTGAGGTGATTTTAACTTCAATTTTTAAAGTTACAAACATTTTAAAAACAAACCAATTTTTAAAAAAGCAAAGGAAATCACCCCAAATTATTATTACATTTTCTAATACATAATGATGTCCTCGTGGCCAGGTTAAAACGCTGATAATAAAACATTGTATAATAAATTTGTGGGTACAGAATCTTACTTGAGGTAAACAATCGGGTCTCGACTCAAATATCACAAGGAGTACCCCCATTGGAACCCTCTCCTGGACCAGCTCCAATCCATCCATTACTAAAATCTTCTTCACTTCTTCTCTCACAGCATCTTTATCAGATATACTATCAGCTAGCTGATGTAGACCTGTATGAAAAAGCAAGATATCATCACTCCATGAATTTATAATTTTATTCCCATACTGTTTGAGATAAGAGTATCATTTGGCTCATTTTGAAACCTAGTCTAGCTAGCAGGAAATTAATAATTTGATATCCATAAATTATCATAATAGGTTCAGCACACCCATAACATAAGTATAGAAGCATACACAATAATATCAATAATTTAGAAATGAAAAGACAAAAAATAGACATGCACTGCAAGAACAATAGAGAAGTAAATATTTTTCATTTTTACCAGCAATTAATGAGTCTAGCTTTGTCCTTGATAAGAAGAGCCGTGACTTCAGTGAAGGAGAAAGTGATGCAGCAACAGCATCGATGTCTTTCCTGTTGGCACCCTCAATCTCTTTCCATCTCTCATCCAATAGATCAGCTAACTTCCTTAGGACCTCCCCTCTCTGAAGGAAATAGAAAAGGTGTATTATTATTATTATTATTATTATTATTATTTATGGTAGGAAAGAAGCACAGAGGAAGAACATACATTGTGCAAAAATATGTCAAAAGTATAAATTATTATTATTAACTTGTTCTGTTGAAAGTTGCATTAGAGTATTGCTGCCTCTACGAGCTGCAAGGAGGAGAAAGAGAGAGAAAATATTGTAAGCATTTATTGTTAAAAATTTTCATTTTTATAAAGAAGTAACATGTACCTTGTAAAGTCATGAGTTCGGCTGGTTGAGTGACGGTCTCTTCGCCAGTTGACCGTGTTACCAGTGTACCTATCAATCGACCACGAACTACGTCCAATATACCCTCTCCTTGACGACGTCCGTTCATAATAACAACAGCAGTGCCGCCTTCATTTACTGCCTTTTCAGCTGATTTCAACTACAAATAAAATACAATCTATAGCATTAAAAGTTATCATAATTTTAAGTAGCATTTTTTAAGGGTTAATTGCCAAGTGAACAACTTTAAAAATTCATAAAAAATCCAATTTTGATCGAAGTCAACTCAAACTTTCTACACAACATACATGCATATGCATCAGATAACATTATAAAAATGGAGAATTCTCTTTTGTATATAAATACAAAACATTGTATTTATATCTCTTACTTTGCTCTGCATTCCTCCTCTACCAACACTCGACTTCTTATCCCAGAACTGAATAGAGTGACCAGCCCCTCCATTAGTATATCCCTCATCATCCTTATTGTTACTATTAATAACGAAATGAGTCCTCAGCAGTCTGCTACCCGGATCACTGGGTGGCCCACTGTAGAGTCCATCCACGTCCGAGAGTAATATCAATAGGTTGGCTTTGAGGGCAATAGCTAGTTCAGCAGCTAATTGATCATTGTCCGGAATAGCCTAAAAAGGAAGGGATGTATGCACAATTGTACGTGCATTGTGAATATTATTTATGAATACTTAAATATTTAAGTTTTATTTAAGGAACATGTAGTTAAATAAATATTAACCAAGATGCATGGAAACTTCAATACTCTGTACTATAGTGCCATATTTGACAAAATTTCAGAGCAATGTTATTCAAATCAAGTCATACTTACTCCGCCTTTGGGTGGAGCTACAACATCGTTCCCATTGATGATCGGAATCATTCTCATCTCAAGTAAATCATTCATCGTATTCGTTAGACCTCTTCTCTCGCTTAAACTAACAACCTCCTGACCTGTTAATAATACCTAGAGACAAAGAAAGAGAGAGAGAGAGAGAGAGAAAGAGGAAGCTGTATTCATAATATCTTTGCCAGTATAATCATAGCAATAATAGTAAGCATGTTAATCCGTTTGTCTATAAAATAGACAAAATATCAAAAGATCTGAATGAGGCATTGTCTTGGAAATTTGCAACCATTATTCAAAAAAAAAACTACAGTATATAGACCTAGCCCATACTAATCACTAGCAAGGAAGACGAGAGAGAGAGAGGGGGGGGGGAAGGAAGATATACCTGAGCACAAGAGACTCCATATTGAGCAAACATTGACTCATAGAGCGTCATAAGTCCAGCCTGACCCACAGCTGCACAAGCCTGAGGCTGAGGAACATAATGCGATGTCTTCTGATACATGATCGGAGCTAGAGTTGAGCGCATAGTCTGGGAGAGGAGTTGCTCCTGTTGCAAACGCTGACGACCAAAAGCAACAGCCCCGCTAGTAATCATAATCAACTCTTTACCATTGCTATGCAGCCATGAGACCTTGTGATATGCATAAAAGAGTAAAGAAGGAGAGAGAGAAAAGATTTGATTTAAGAGAATTTATATGCATAATAAAATAAAATGTAAAGTGTAGATTTGAATATTTTGCTTGCTTGTGGGCAGCTGGAATTTCTCACCTGCTCAATGATTGATGCTAGTCTGCCAAGAGCAAGCCCACAGCCATCTTCTCTTGTAATGACAGCCGAGCCCAGCTTCACTATGATGCGCCTGGAGTCCGTCAAATCGCTTCTTTTACTAGCTATGCTTCTCCTAGCTCCCGTAAAGGCAGGGAGTGGCGGGATCCTAGCACAACTTCTAGTCGCAAAGCTTATCATGAGCCTTTCTTCTTGTTTTCAAATGATGACAAGAGCTGAATGTGCTGTTGTAATTCTTAATGGACAATACAGCTGCAGCAGTCTTGAGTCGTTTTATTGTGTTCCCCAGACAAAAAGGACCAGCGGCGGCCATGTGCGACACGAGGGCGTGTTTTTAAATGAGTCATGAGTGGGCGTTTGAATTATGAAAATTAAAAAAAATCTTAAAATCATTGCTTGCTTAAAAGCATTTAAAGTCTTAGGTTTCTCCTTCAATGCAAATACACAGTATAAAACATACTCCTGGATTCATCTGCAAATAAGAAGTAAGTGCCAGAAGCTCACAGCCTCACAGAGCAAGCAACTTTTAGCAAAGAGTATAGTCTACGGATTGTTTATTCATACAAAAGGGCGTGGCTTAAATAAAATTATTGCATGCTGTGCTTTTTTTGCCTGTTTTGAGTCTCTCTTGTTTAGTTCCTTTAGTTAAGGCTAAAACGCCGGGGATAAAGAATAAAGAACCGGAGTGTCTCTTACTTAATTGGATATGCGTCGTATTCACATTGGGAAGGGAGACTTTGCTCTCTTTCATCAAGATATCAACGCCTTCGACTATGAGTTCTTTCGCAACCACAGCGGGGCTTTTAAGAGAATGTGGGGAGAACAAGTGAGGGATTTAGACGAGGGGAGGCTTACATTGTAATTATAATATGTATTTTTATGTAACATCTTCACGACAGACCAGGCAATTTTGGGTACTCTATGTAGAAATGTTTGATCACTTTATTTGGAATTATGGCGTCATGAAAGACTTTCCACTTAAAGTACGACAAACTGTTTGACCTTAACAATATCTATATACAAATATATATGTCTTTCTTTTCTCCTCCAACTTCCTGCGAACCGTTAGATAGATGAAGTTCGACTTTATGTCGACGAAATAATATCATCAATAACTCTGTCCTTTGTCGAAGGAAATGCTACGTCGGCAAAAACTCTAATAACAGATTGTGCCGTGGTGGCACAAAATAGACACTTTATTGGTATACTGGATAAAGCACCTTATTGTGAGTTTGGGTGTGGTTACTCCTCCCACTTTTAACCTCATTTCTTATTAATATGTAGCTCAAAATCCGTTTTATACTAAAGATACTCGGTAAATAATGAGGCTCATATCATCCAGACTCATATTTTGTTTATATTTTTGTTTTGTAGAGAAACTTTTAGAAAATTATTTGGAATGCCAAGATCTAAAACTACATTTATGAAAGTAAGCAAATAGAGATGAAGCTTAAATATTGAGTAACTATCTTTTTTTTCTTTTTATCTCTCTTCCTCTCTCTCTCCCAGGTATTATGTGGTCTACCAGTGTATGTAAAGTTTGCAGGTGCAGCTGTAACTATATTAAGACGATGGCTAAAAGCTGATACCATTAATGACGAAGATTGCATTGAAGACTATCTCTCAAAGTTATCCTCCATAAGATCAACCGATTCAGCTTCACTAGGTACATGAACATCCACAAAAAGACATGCAGTGTGTTTTTAAGGGAATTACATGTCACAAAATCTGTTTTGCAAACACATGTATGTATGTTTATTAATAGTTAATTAATTTTACGAAATTTGCACCCCTCAAAAAAACAACCAATACAGTATCCAAGAGTGCCTTAATTAATCATGTCTTTGGTGCTGTATTGCAGAGGTCATTGAAAGAACACTGACCAGAGAGAAGAGAAAAGAAGAAGCAGACCAGCCCACACAAAGAGTATCAAAGAGACATTTCTCTCAAGAGAGTACCAAACAGAAAGCCCTTGAGTGGATTGATACTAGTAAAACTTCGGTAGCTACTGAACTGGAGGAACTAGATCCTCCTCCAAAAGAGAAAATGTCTTATAGATCAGAGTATAAGAAGACAATACAGTCGGTTACTGAAGATGTGAGGAATTCATTGGTGGAGAGTATAGCTGAAGTAAAGAGAAAGGTAAGTGGATATTTTGTGTTATAAAGTTGTCTGTAAAACATGCTGATACTTAAAGAAAACATGTCAGGTCACAATTACTAATAAGGAAGACACAATTATAGATATAGCACAAATAAAGTTAACACTAACATAAGACTAGACTATACATGTATATACAAAATAAATGTATAAGCAAACTATTATTATAAGCAATTGTAAGCAAACTATATACAATGTAGTTTTTGGGCCTGAAATCACCAATCACCTTTAATTTTATTGTATTATCTAATACATTATAGTGTCCTTATGGTATCCAATTAATAATAAATCATATTAAGGCTGTTTTTAAATCATATTAATAGAGTCACTTAACATTCTAATCTCTTTAATATAATTATCATGAGATTATAATTATGTTTATGTTATGATTAGGAGATTGAGCTAGCACGTGAAAAGGGAGAAGATGTGGAGCCGATCATTGAAGAATTTAAAGAAAACCTTGCAAAACGCAAGAAGCCCCGACGAAAGAAGAAACGTGGGGCAGGACCAGATGGAGGAGATGAGATAAGCTGTCTCCTAGAGCTACACAAAGAAGTATCTTCAAGTGATCGGTATTTAGAAGCAATCGGAGCTAAGAGACCTTCTGGGTCTCTCCTGCAGCCGTCCATCACTGAAATAACTGAGGAAGAGGAGTTGGAAATTAAAATAAGGGGAAAAGAAGATACAAGCAAGGCTGAAGGTGAAAGTGAAGAAAAAGAATCACATCAAATAGATGGAGAAGGAGAGGTTGTTAGTGCCTCTACTGCTAGTGAAAACAAAGAGTGTCAAGTAGAAGAGGTGGCAGAAATCATTTTGGAGACAGGAGAAGATAAATCCACTCAGACTGTTGACGATTTAAATGTGATGGTAGATCATTCTACTGACAAAGCAGTAGAAATGAATGGAGATGAGATGGGAAGTCCCAGCCTTAGTGCTGAAGTAGTGGAGAACATTGACCCTGAACCTCAAGAAGTTGGAAAAGAGAAAGAAGAGTCAAGCAGCGTGGAGGCTGCTCAAAAAGTTGAGGAGGACATTGAAAAGTCAAAAGTAGAAGGATCAGGTACTGGAATCAGTCAACAAGACAATAAAGAAATGGAAAGAAATGATGACAGGAGGAAAGGAGCTACTGTTGCATCAGATGAATTTGGTAAAATAAAGAGGGGGGGAGAGGGGTGACAAATGTGACTTTATTATAGGTGCTGATACAAATAAGAGAAAAGCTCTTCACGTCTGCTATCATTGCCAAAAGAAAGAAGAGTTAGCCAAGACATTTAAAAGATGTGTAAAATGTCGTGGCAAACCCAATCCTCACTACTATTGTAGTAGAAGCTGTCAAGGTACAGCCTAGCTATAATTTGAAATGCATTAACTAAAAGTACTGTATCTACTGTATTAGTAAGAAATACATTAACTATAAAAGTACTGTATCTACTGTATTAGTATAACCTCTACTCTTTCTTTCAGTTAATGACTGGAAGGCTGGTCATCGACTTGATCATAAAGATGATACTGATTAACTTCACCAGGCTCTTGTGTGTGGATATGTATCATAGATATAGAACTATTATATGACAATTATTTATCTCCTCATTTAACTATTATCATTATTGTTAGTATTATATATGATTATAAAAAAGTGTATTGTTATTATTATTGTTGTCTAATTTAAACTAATGACATTTGTGAGTTGACTAGAGATAACTTAGCAGTCATCGCTGCTTGTCTTGCAGCTCTTGGTGTCTGATAATAGTCTTCCTCTTTATTTCCACTAGTATAGTCTCCTTTATTATAAGGATTGTTGTACGAAACGTGACCTTTAGCAGTCGAAGAAGACATTCGAGATGAAGCATCTGACAGAGCAGGAGAATATGGTCCCAATGAGAGAGATGAAGAGGGTAACGCTGTCATTAGTGCTAGATCAGGCAAATGTCTAAAATTATTGTCAGTAGTTGGTAGTGGACCAGTTGTACAGAGAGATGGATGTACGTTACCAAGTCTAGGTGGATGCAGCAGGTTATAATGAGGATTGATCCTTGGATCAGTTGGATAATGCATGACATCTCTCCTCTCTCTTTCTGCTGGTACTACCGGAGCCCCTCCATCAATGGAGGCCTGGGACTTTAAGGCAGCCAATTTATCGTGTATCTGAGAATGACTCTCGTATTCAAAACTAGAGACTGTGTCGGTCGGACTGCTAGACCCTCCTCTCCCATCTTCTCCCCTAGTTCTTGATCGTTTGTACTTTGTGAGTGAGAGGCTCCTTGTTTGCTGTTGGCTGGCATCACTGGGTTGGAACAACTTCCTCTGAGCTGTAGAGGATCTTTTCTTTGATCTTGAAGAAGAATTAATGATCTGAGGCATTTGATCTAAACCCTCTTCCTCCTCCTCTTCCTCTGCTGTCATTTCTCTCTGTCCTCTCTCAGCCTCTCTCTCTAATGGTGACTTGTACTCATACTTAGAACGGAGTGTGGAGGTTTGTGAGGTCAGTGTGTTCATCCCATTCTCGATGGTTCCATTTCTTGAAGGGTGTGGAGGAGTAGCAGTGAGACTGGCTCCTGTCCTTGGTATATTTACTTCTCCTAGTTCAGCATATACAGACTGGTGAGACTGGTCTGGGGAAAGAGCTTGTACATTCATCATTTTATCACTAGACAAAGGGAGAAAGAGAGAGATAAGGAATTAAATCACAACAGGTTGAAGAGTAACTGTGCATTATTTCAAACACACTACATCTTATCACTATACATTAACCTCATGTACTAACACAAAAATCATCATAATGTGAACACAGTATATGATATCCATGCATACATGTATCTGGTTTATATGCATGCATGTGTCTTACAGAACAGTTGATCTCCTGTTTGGATAAACAAAATGAAACCGAGGTCTGGATGATGAAGACTGTTGATCGACATTATGTACAGTTTTTCTTTTCTTTTTTGCACAATAACAAACACAGCAGAAGCAGCAAATGCAGAGGAAGAGAAGGAGAGAGAGAACTATACCCCCTCCGGCACCTCCTGCAGCATATAGAAACCATTCCTCTTCATAAAACGACACAGAACCTACAAAATAATATAGAAAAAAAATATCAGTTAAGTTAACTTGGCATAAAAGGGAGAAGAGTTGAGAAAAGAGAAAGAGGGAAAGAAGAGAAAGAATCACTGTATGAGTCTAACCAGAAGAGGGAGATGGGGTGGGTGATGTTTCCACTGGACAATTTGGTAAAATTATAAAATATTCAAGAGGAGGACTCCTTCCAAAAGCATTAACTGCAGACACATTGATGTGCAATGATAAACCTCCACTGCCTGACTTGTAAGTATAACTTGTATTAGTGGTGTTCACATTCATAGGAGTTAAGAATGCAATGTTATGACTGATTGATAGTACGTAGTGTGAGGTGTTGGTTAGATTGTTGAGAGGCTCAGAAGCAACTGGAGGAGGAGGTCTCCATGAGATTGACACATTTGTACAGTTAGGCGAAGTACTGTTGGTTGAAGTAGTAGGAATGGGAGAGAGTGGAGGGCTGGCTTTACCTAAGGGAATATTAATATGTAATTATACATTAACCCAATGTAAATGTAGTATTCAAAATAGTTTAAGTGACCGTACGTAACTCAAAAAGTTTTGATCGGAATTAGTTCAAACTTTCTAAACAGCATAAGGACATCAATATGTATCAAAAAATGTAATAAAAATGTGGGGTGATTTTGGAGCCATTTTTTGAAAAAAACCATGGGCTATAGCCTTGGGTAATTTTCAAAATTTTGGCATTTTCTTAAAATGGCCATAACTTGAAGAATTGAAGTCGGAATCGCCTCAAACTTTCTACAGAGCATAAGGACATCAATATGTATCAGAAAATGTAATAAAAATGTGGGGTGATTTTGGAGCCATTTTTCCAAAAATACCATGGGCTATAGTCTTGGGTATTTTTCAGAATTTTGACATTTTCTTAAAATGGCCGTAACTTTAAAAATTGAAGTTGGAATCACCTCAAACTTTCTACACAGCATAAGTACATCAATATGTATCAGAAAATGTAATAAAAATTTGGGGTGATTTTGGAGCCATTTTTTCGAAAATACCATGGACTATAGCCTTGGGTAATTTTCAGAATTTTGGTGTTTTCTTAAAATGGCCATAACTTAAAAAATTGAATTCGGAATCAGCTCAAACTTGCTAGAGAGCATAAGGACATCAATATGTATTTTAAAATGTACTAAAAGTTTGAGGTGATTTTGGAGCCATTTTTTAGAAAAAACGATGGGCTATAGCCTTGAGTATCTTTTCAAAAAATTGGCCATTTAAAATGACCCAAACTTGAAATATTTTAGCTTAAATTTTTACACAGCCTAAAGACATTAACAAATATTAATAAAGAGAAGATAAATCTTGAAACTAAAAGCATTAGAAAAGCAGTCAGATGAGAAGAGTATTTGAATGCACATGCACAAACATTATTACAATAATAAAAACACCTGCACTCATGTACACTCTTACGTACACCCCCCCCCACACACACACTGTATATACAAGCAAATACAGTACAAACACAAACACTTTCAGAAGACAAGACTATACAGAACAAGTAACCAAGCAAGCACAGAATTAGATGTTACTATATTGAATTACTTGTTTCTTTTGTCACTGGATCAGAATAAGGACCTCGTCCTATCCTGGTACTAGCAGCAACTCTTATACTGTACACTGTCAATACATCCAAGCCATTCAATAATACTGATGTACTGTTATCAGTCAATGTCACATAGACAGGAGAGGAGGAAGAGGAGGAAGGAGTATAAGATACAGTGTAGTTAGTGATGATCCCATTTCTGTCTTGGCATGTAGGATGAGACCAACTGACCAATAGCTGGCCTAGTAATGGCGTCTCCTCTACAGTGAGTAACTGAGGAGAAGAAGAAGGAACTGAGAGAGTAGGAAGAGGGATAGAGAAAAGGATTATTATGATTAAGAGAAAGGGGATGAGAGACAAAATACAGCAGATAAAGAGAATGACATGATGTAGAGTAAATAATAGTAACAATACTCTATACAGTCAATGTCATACAGATTATTACTTGGCATTCAATTTTGATGTACATACCATAAGGACCGCACCAAACCACACTCAAATTCAAATACTATACTCACTTGACTCCTCTGTAGTAAAGTCAAACTCGTCACTAACGTTACTAGTACCTCTGGAATTCACAGCATACATAAGAGCCCTGTACTTTGTGTGTGGGCGTAGTGGGACAACAACAGAAAGACTAGAATCCAAAACGGTCACATTAACAGTGTCATTTTGAAAGGGACAAGGCTCTCTGCTCCCTTCTATTTGTAAAGGGACCAGTATAATGTTGTATTGAAGGATTGCTAGACTGCCATTGTTAATTGGTGAAGACCATGACATGTGTACGCTATTGTTGGCAGTTGTAGTAATAACAGAGAAAGAGTGAGGGGGAGAAGGTGGAGTGGGGGGAACTAAGAGAGAAAGAAAGAGATGAAAAATTTGAAATAGAATAGTAATTAATTCCAAAATACATAAGTAATTATTTATGAATGCATTAATCTACTATACTACATTAATCTACTATACTATTATATATATACAAAAGGCATGTGTGGCTAATCAAGAAAATGACATTTTAATTGGCTGTGATTGTTAGCTTTGGTACACTCACTAACCTGTCGATATGAAAGCAGAGCCAATATCATAAGACAGTGGAGGAGCGTTGTTTCCCATCGGGTCAAGACTAACTGTGCAAGCATACCTCCCAGAATCAGTATTAGCAGTAAAGCCTTGTATTAACAGAGACCCATTTGTTGGGAAAAGAGTATATCTGCTATTAGAATTCAAGTTTATGGGTGCACCGTCACGGGTCCATGAATATGTTATTGAAGTTTGTGATACATCAGAGATAGAGCAGGAGAGGGAGACAGTGCCACCTTGTGGTATTAACTGATTTTGTGGAGTAGAGGCAACAGTAGGAGTATCTGAATAAAACAACAACAACAACAACAACAATAATAATGAAATTTATCATTCTATTATTATTAATTTATCTATTTATTTGTTTATTTATACGTAGTATGAACAATAACTGTGAAATGTCAATCATTACCTATTACACGAACAACCACTGGACTAGTTGAAGATATCGCTCCAGAAGAACCCTCCGCTAGGCACCTGTAATTACCGCTATCACTCCTTTGGGCACTCAATACTACAAGAGTTCCATTGAATACGTGATCAGTAGAGAGAGAGTATCCTATTTAATGAGAACTATTCAAACAATGTCATTGAATAAGGACAGTTACTGACACTGAGTGACATTTCAGACGAACTGCAATCGGAAGTAACTTAGGAAAAATCGTCATTATTATGATAATGATGACATATTTTTCTCGATAAGTAATATTAAACATGGTTTATTGTGTAAACGAGGTCGTATAAACAATAGTCTCGGTACATATTCCAATTAATCTACCAATAATTCTAATTGATTGAAGAATGTGACACCTGTCAGATTCTTAAACTTAAAAAGCTACGCTGCATGAGTATCAAAACTGATCCATTACCTATTGCTAACATTCGCGATTCCCTGAATTGGCATAAAAAATAATGACCATTTAATTTACGTACATTTACATACAAATATACATCATTGCAATATTAATGTAGTGCTAGCAATAAAAGAAAGTACAAAATTGAATTTTAAGCTGAGTCATAGTAGCCAAAAATGATATATTACATACAAAGCATCATAGTGACTTTATATGCATGGACATACTGCTGTTGGTATCTATGGATAGCTGAACATTGTTTCTTTGCCAATAGAATGTAGGGAAAGGATATGAAACAGCATAACATGGTAGAACAAACTTGTCACCAGTGAAGACAAAAACATCAGCAGGGACTGTACTGAATGTAGGATTCATTGCTATACAAGAAGATAAGGAAATAATACAATAAACAATAGATAACAATGTACTATAGCATCATTAGTATGTGTATTAGCATATAGTGCATTATCATAGTCCCTTCCTTTCCTTCATTCCCTACTGCAACTTTCTCTTTCCTTAGCTCATCAAAATAAGCTATCAGTTCTCTCCCTTTCAAAACCAGTCATTCTCCGAAATGTCTCTTGTTTCCACAAACACAAACACACTTCATAAACAAACCAAGAGGAGCAGACATGCGTGCACGCGTATGCATAAAAAATATACACAAATGATAAAACAAACAGACACAGAAGACATACAGAAGCACAGACTTACTTTGAACATTTAGATTATGATTGGCAGAAGACGTTAGAGTGTTGTCATTATCATTATATGCCACGCACTGGAGTATACCACCACTATACACATCAAGGCTCTCTATTACAAGGAGTGAAACTAGACCAGACTCGGTATAGTATGTATTGGTGGATTGGGTAAGTGTCTGACTGTTGTTTCTCCACAGCCAGCGAATTAGGCCATCGCCTTTGGCTACACATGAGACGTTAATTGAGAGAGAAGCAAATTGAGTCACAGAGCCAAATGATTGTGTTATGTGTGGAGGATCTAGAAAGAAAGAGAGAGAGAGAGGGTGAGAGAGAGAGAGTGAGAGAGAGAGGGGGGTAAGAGAGAGGGTGAGAGAGAGGGGGGTGAGAGAGAGAATAGAGGGTGAGAGAAAGAGAGAGAGAGAGAGGGAGGGAGAGAGGTATATGTGGGAGGAAGAGGAGTATTGTCACATCCAATAGAGTGGTGTTTCTACTAGTACATGTACGACTGTTTGTAAAATGTGTGTATAACACCAAGAACAGAGAGGAAAGGTGCTACTCTAGTCGTGACACACTTATTACACCAAATGATATTCATGAGGATGAGATTTTGTTAATTTGAGCATGTGAAGTTGTGATTAGTACACTCACGCAGTCAAGATGAGTTCAAATATATAATATTACATCACTACACCTACTCAGAACTCTCATACACTCTAAGACCACCAGTAACTTAAATTGATTACTACATGTTCATACACACTCATAATTTGAGCAATCAACACAGTCCTCTTTAAGATGTAACATGAGTCAGCCACACACTGATGACTCTTTGATCATTCTAGCAGACTTATATATGTATCCAAATAGATACATTAGCTCATAGTACAGCCACACACAATCATGCATCAGAGTACAGCACAAACACAATTGATATCATCTCTAATGTCACTAGGAGACATGATATCAATTATAGTAATTGAGCTTTCCTTTTATGCCGCAAGTCAACCATGAAAGACTTACCTATTACGGTTAGGTTAGTATTTCTTGTTAATTCATTGCTTCCTTGGCTAGCTCTACATATATAAATCCCAGCATCTTCTAGGCTAGCGTTGGTAATTGAGAGAATTCGACTGTTTTGACTGAAAGTGATTCTTTGAGATCCTCCAAGTGTTGCTCCATCTTTGCTCCAGGTATAAGTGGGTATAGGCCTGGGAAGGATTGATTGTGTTTGTAATAATTAGGAATAAAATGCAGCTCTTGTCTGGCTGCTTTGGTTTCTCACCTTCCTGTGGCAAAGCACTCCATTTGTATACTCATTCCAGCCTTTATTGTGGGTTGAGTGGCATGCATTGCATCACTGAGCAAAGTAATTATTGGATTAGCTGCCGAGTTACCTGTGAGAAAGCATGAAATATAAATAATGAAATATGAATAATTTAGATTCTTATAAATAGATGAAAGGAGAGTGAGAGAGAGAGAGAGAAGGAAATGGAGATAGGTATAAGGAAACATAGGATAGAAGTAGGAAGATGTATATGTACCTGATACTGATATAAAATAAGAGTTACTGTCTGTTTCAGAGTTTGGTATAAGCTCATTGTGATACTTGCATGTGAATACTGCTTGATCAGAGCTGATAAGGTAGCTGAAGACCAGCTGATGTGATAATGATACTCCTATTCTAGTACTTAGAGCCACAGGAGAAGTACTGCCACGATACCATACAACTTTAACTGGGGGAGTGCTACTGGGGACAGTACAGTTCAATACAAGTGGAGTGTTTGGTTGGACTGTTAGAGTTTTAGTGCTTGAAGATACTGAACCAATGACTGCAAGAGAAAATTATAATAACAAGTTGTCATTGCATACAATATCAGTTTATCTCTAGGGAATGAGCCATGATTATCATTAAAAAGGTAGACAAAGCTTTACATGCACCATAATCACTGTTATGATACCATATTTTCATTTTACTGTAAATTAGCTCAATTTTTCAAAGTCATGCATACCTGCAAGTTGTAGTCTCCCTGTAGAGCTCCTAACTGAGCCATGACTACTAGCAGCAATGCAGTAATACTCCCCAGCATCATTGTTTGTAAAAGTAGTGATTTTTAATGATCCATTTGCATGTATGACATATTTGGTGCCATTGTTTAGCTCAACAGCTGTGTTGGAGGAGTCCTTGTACCATGATGTATCAACCACTGGCCCCGTGAGACTGCAGTCAAGTGTGGCTGAGCCTCCAGGAGATACTACAGCATTAACTGGCTGAGAAACGAACTGCACATCTTGGGAGTTTGAATTTCTGCAGCAGAGGACTAGTACTATTAAACAAAGAGAAGGCGATAGTAACACTAGATAGTAGTTACGATACTGTATTGATAGTAAAGCTGTATTGATAGTAAAAACTCACCAGATAGATACAGGAGAAACGCAAACGCTCTCATTTTTCTAACTAAGCTTCTCAGTGATTACTGTGAGCTGAAAATGCCTCCGCATTAGTAAAGCCACACCCCTACCTGCGGAAGCGGATAATTTTTCGCATTCCTGCGGGCAGGAAGGCATCCGCCATTATTGTTGTGGGATAGGAGAAAGGAGGAGAGAAAGAAGGGGCCAATAAGAGGAGGAGAAGTAGATTCGACAGCACTTCCTTCCGCATTGTTAGCAGCTAAAAAAGTAATTCAGTTAGTTTTTTCTCTCGTTCTAATATTTGCTTGATATCTGCTCGGGGAGAGCTACAGAAAGTAAAAGCAGGAAAATGTCAAATCTCACCCCAAAGAAAAGCGCCCCGCTTCAACAGAGCATCGCTGCTACATCAGGGCGAAGGGTCTACGAGGTTTACCGCCAAGGATTTCTACTCAAAGCCCACAGCGGAGTGAGAAAGGTAATTACGATTTTATTGTTTGTAAAAGCGTGCAGGGAAGAGAGAAGCTAACCTCGTTAAAAATAACAATATCAAATTAAAGCACCCAACTCCAATAACAATTGCTCGGCTTGTACTGCACCATTCCACCATTTGTTGTATCCACATTCTCCCCCTTGTTGCCAGACAATAATCCTATTGTTCTCCTTCTCCTTTCAGACCCTCAAACGCTACTGGTTTGTCCTCTTTGAGCAGAAAGACCTCCTAGCCTTCTTGTCATTTGCAGATGAGGACCATTACCTTGAGAAAAAGAAAAATGAAGGTTTCTTTCGAATCGACGATGCGACATCGATCGACGTGCTACCTGGCTACATGGGCCGCAAAAACGCCTTTTGTATTACGACACCGAGAAACAAATACTACCTGGTGTCTGAGAGCAGGTAAGGGGGAGCATGTTTGTATGTCTCTGATTTTTCTCACACCAGCCCTGTCACACTGTAGAGTGTATATTGTTGCTATTCACACACACACTTACACACACACTTACACCCATACAATCTGATATGTAATTATTTGCACACACGCTTACACATAATAATACATCTACTCCCACTCAGTCTTAAATAAACTAGCCTCTAATTCTTATCTGTCAATAAAAGCATCGTGGCCTTCTATAGGAGCTATTAAGCAATCACTCATCATGAAGTTCAGTAGTTTGTTGTGACTAATTGGAGATGTACACACACACCCAATGCACTAGCTAATTGATCATAATTGTCAACTAATTCATTTTGAAGGAGAGAGAGAGAGAGCGTGAGGTAGCAACTGTCATTGTTTGTCCAATGGGCTTTTGATATCTGTGGCTTGTTTGTACTTCATTACAAGAAAGCTTTTAGAGAGGGAAATACAGGGGAAAGAGAGAGGAAGAGGAGAGAGAGAGAGGGGGAGAGAGAGAGAGGGGGAGAGAGAGAGAGAGAGAGAGAGAGGGAGGGAGGGAGGGAGAGAGAGAGAGAGAGAGAGAGCAATAGAAAAATAGCATCAGTCACATGTTCTACACGCACAAGTAACAATTAATTAATTCGTAATTATTATTAAAATTCTATTTTTAGATATGAGATGCATCATTGGTTGCTTGCCCTACACGAAGCAATGGATAAATACAAACAGCACACACTGCAAAGGAAAAAAAAACAAAGATCCTCGTCTACCTCTGGAGCTGATAACACACCAGTAGCAGCTGGAGGGGCTTCACCAAGCATTGGAAAGACTCCGCCTCGTATTAAACCATCTCGTCCAGCTCCGCCCGTCCCACAAGTAATTGGACTAACACGTTAAATAAGTATTCATTTAATTAAATTTATTTTTTAGGGTAAAAGGAAAGAGAACGAGCCGCCAAACATGATCCCACCACACGAAGGACACATGCAAGAGCTAGTCTCTCCGCTCCATGGCATGTCCTCGCCTACGACTTCTCCACTGGACGCCATTGTTGCTGGCCTATTGGCAGAGTCCAACGAAATGGGAGAGGTTGAGTATAACTTGAACGAGGAGGACGAGGGAGAAAATGGAGACGAAACCACAACCAACCACACCTTTCACCCTCCTGATGAGGAAATATCCAACTTAGCACCTTCGAAAAATGGAGCCACTTCAACCTCAATGCCTGCCCTTAACAATGTCAGTGGAGACGGATCCAAAGAAGGAACGGAATCACCAGAAAACTTTTCCGGACCAAGTTCTCAAGACAACGACCAGTTTGTGTCTAGTTATGATGGCAGCGGTCGTAATACAATCCCGATGGATGGTCGTGGCCACCTGCATCAAAAGAAGATGAGTAGGAAGAGGAGCAGCACTAAAGGGATGAGGTCTGTTTCTCCTCCTAATATCCCTCCTCCCCCTCCCCCTGATAGTCTCAGTGCTGCCGGACAGAAAGAAGGCGAAGAAGTGAGAACAGAAATAAACTGTAATGTTGAGAATGGAATGAATGAGTCAAAGCAACCCGTTGAGACTGAAATATAAAGACTTTGTCTGATTAGCATTAGCTTTACAAAGAGACTCCTACTATATTGCATGATTTATGTACTTAACTCCCTCCCTCCACCTCTCTTTACCCACAAATACATGTATGAACTATGATATAGGAGCTACTATGAATATATTATTATCAGGTCTTTATTATTATTATTATTATTATTGTGTATCATATTAATCATTTTTATGCACTTTTTCATTATTATTATTATTATTACTATTATCATTAAACTATTATTGCTATAGTATTATTATTATTATTATTATTATTATTACTAATGATATTTAATTGGGTTTTTTCGTTGCCATTAGGTTTTGACAGATTTTGGCGACGCATTAAAAGAAATGAAAAGTGAATTGCAATCAAAAATAGCAAGCGGAGACGTACAGAATCCTAAACCCCTCCCACCACTTCGCACCTCATCCCTCGCAACCAAAGACCCCAAAACATCCAGTGAGGGAGACACCAGCGTCAAGAGCTACTTAGACGAAGCCTTTCAAGAGGAGGATAGTAAGCAGTACCAATTTGAGGACGAAGAGCACCTTGCCTTGAAAACAAAAACTCACCCCGAGGGTATGCCCCCGGGCATTCTAAAGAAGGGCCACGAGGGCAAGAGGAATGTTGGTTTTAAAGATAGCAAACGTAACACTCCGTCGTACGAGCCTAGGATTGACAGAGAAGACAGGCCACTCTCAGTCATTGAAGCGAAAAAGAAGCTCTTTGGAGACAAAGAGACAAAAGTTGCTCTATACAGGCGCTCTTACTCACAAGACGATGACAAGAAGGAAGATGTCGGTAATGAGACTAGTGTCGTCGCTCAGTCGTCTCCGAGTGGCAGTCAAGGGTTGGATGATCAAACCGACGAGTTGCTGAGATCAATTGAAAATGCTTTTGAAAGTACGAGCTACATGGAAGAGAAGCCAGCTGGTGATAAGAGGCGTACTCCACCACCTGTTCCTAATCAAGCCGAAGGGAGAAAGAGCTTTAGTGTAATGGTAGGAGAGGATAAGAGCTCACCCATCCCTCCCCCATCTCTACCACCACCTGTACGCCACACTGCCTCTCTTGAAGAGGAGAATAATGAAGGAGCAGCTTTCACTGAGCAAGCAGAGCCTAATGGAGTCCCACAAGCCTGGTCAGCTATAGCCACCAATGGTAATCTCAATCCTGATCAGAATCCAGTCTATCGATCTTTAGTATGAAGGGAAGACCATTTTATTCTGTATTAGAGAGCAGAGACTTTTCTCTAGTTCATTCACTCAGTCATTCACTGCATATACCTTCACCAAACTTCTCTTATTGAACTCAGACCATCTCTCTCTCTCTCTCTCTCTCTATCATTAACTAGTCTTGCAGACATCAGTCACTCGTGCGTGTGTGTGTGTTTATCATGTTAAAGATTGCACAATCATAATAGATACAAACATACAGTCTTGATATTGGAATGCTATTTTTGTTCGTGTGTGTTTATTTGTATGTCATCATTCACGTGTGTCCTTGTGTGTGTGTGTTTCCCTTTTCAAGAATCATCAAATTTTGTTTTAAATTTAAAATAAATAAAATTATATAGAGACACAAGGAAGAAGAGAGAGAATACTACTTTAAATAGCAGGCCACCTGGCAAAATGCAGGCTAACTAGCTAATAGGGAAGGTATAAAATATTTAAAATTCTACAACTCTTTACAGAATTCCTATAGTAACTGGCACTAGCCAGAAATTGCTCAACTGTTGACATAAACACTAGCACTGGTTGCCTAGGTGAAGAATCAATACAACTAAACAATGTATTGTGACACTAGCAGTTAGTACATATCAACTATCATGGATCATTGTCATTATTATGATATTGCTAGTATTGAGAGAGCTAATCTACCAAGAAGTGACATCACACTATTATAATTATAAGAAATAGTATAATGTAATTTTCCTCCACACCTTTGTACTCAATCACCACCCACTCAAAACTCAACCACTCCTTTATGACTCCTCAAGTAGATCCACACAATAAGTATTCATTTAATTGTATGTCTGTATACATATGTCACAGGTGTGTTGTTCTCCCTTAGAAAGACAATGTAGCACATCTGTATATGTAATTTGTAATTTATAGCTACAATGCTATACTGCTAACAATGTTCATTACAATCACATCGTGGGATAGATTGGTGTAGCAATGCATAAATTGATGTAGTACAATAAACCAACCACATGCCAATCACATTGCTCAACCAGTGTTATATCCAGTGGATTCTGTAAGCACCATGTACTGTACGTGCACTTAATGAGAGGAAGTGTTTGTAAGCAACCTCCAAATAGGGTATCAATACCACATGTAATGTCACTCCTAATGATGTAGTAGGTAGATTATGAGATATGTGATATAATAACGGGAGATTGCCTTTAATTTTTAGAAATTACAAAATCAGAAATTGCTATAGGCCATGGTATTTGTCAGAAATTTGCTCCAAAATCTGACACCAATCACCCCAGCTATTATTACACTTTCTGATACTATATTGATTTGCTTCTTTTGTGAGTATAATATCACTTCAAAAATTTTATTAATTTTCTTATATTTTCCCCTTAAAACGGTTAAATTTCTTGTGCTGTTGGAGAAGTTCCTGAAAGAAAGAGCATGTCTCATCATTAACTGAATTCTTTAGAAAAGAAATATCAGCAGAGCTTAAAATCTTGATCAAATAAAACACACCATTTAACAACAGCCCCTAATTGAATAAATAAATAAATAAATAATTATTATTAAGAAAAAATAAATGATTATACTTTAATTTCTGGTTGTATAGGAGAGAGTTTAATGTTGGTAATATATTGAGCAACACAATGTACAGCAAACTGCAATGAAGAGGAAAGAGAATGTAGATTACTAAATGACTTTGATATGTTAATATCTTTCAAACCTTAGCAAACCATTCCTGTCTGCAAAACAATTCCATTAAACTATTGAGAAAGAGAGAGGGAGGGAGAGAGAGAGAGTGAGACAGAGATAGAGAGAGTCAGAGGGAGAAAGGGAGAGAAAGAGGAGGTTGAAATAAAAAAGAAATGTGAACAAGGTACAAACTACAAAGCATTGTACATGTATATCTATCATTATTACTATCAAGCAGTGCTCACTTGTTTAATGTTGAGATGCATAGTTTAATGCCATCATTGACAGTTGAGCCAACGGCTGTCAATTCTTGAGAAAGGGACACAATCACGCAAATAAACTGTAAATATCAAAGCTAAGGAAATGCAAGAAATAAACAGCCACAATCCTGTTTTCAAACTTTAACTTAATTCACACGAATACAAGTTGCGCCTACAAGCAATGGAGGTAGGGCACAGAATGCCTTTCATAACCATTAGCTTAAATTACAGCAATCATGATTATGAAAACATGAAAGCTAACCTAACAGGATTTGCTTATTTATTTGTGCAAAACTAAACAATATTGACATTAGATATTGATAACTACAATACATTGATTAAAGAGTGAAAACAGCCTACCTACGTGTACATGTACTTTGGTCAAGTTTTGCCAAAAATAAAAAGGAGGGAATTCTCCATTTTTATATTTTTCGTGATACATATACATGTTTTTATGTTGTGTAGAAAGCTTGAGCTGATTCTGATAAAAATTGGAATTTTTATGAATTTTTAAAGTTGCTCAAAAAGTCATACTATATTATTTATAAGGCTTGTCAACTCATGAAGCATGCTTTGTGGGAAACCTTGTGTACATGTACATGTACTATACATAATGTATAAAGACATACTGGTACTATCCCTTGTGTGTCAAATTTTAATGTACATGTACATGTACATGTATAGCTATTGTAGGATATTGAAGATGACTGTCATGAGTGGACTGAGACTGAGAGTTTGGGAATGAGTTTGAACCAGTACCAGTATGAGACTCTCTGTAGCTAGCAAGACACTACAACTACAAGGGGAAAGGAGTGAGAGAGAGAGAGAGAGAGAAAAGAAAGAAGAGAAATACAATCATAAATATGTATTTAATAGCATACAGCACTTACTCTTTAATACATGACTCATTAATTATTGATAAACCATGATATAGCACATGGAGCATCTGAGCATCCAATCCAACCTAATTAATTAATAAACCACACCCATCAATTAATAAAGAGAGTAATAATTAGCAGTACATACTTGACGTGGCAGTGAAGCTAATTGAGTTAATAATTGAACTGAGAGTTTAATTAATGCGTTCCTTTTATTAGTGACAAGGAATGACTGTTGAGAAATTAATATGTGGACACACTTTGTGACTACCTTTTGGAGAGGAGAGAGGGGGGAGAGAGAGAGGGGGAGAGAGAGAGAGAGAAAGAGAGAGAGGAGAGGAGAGAGAGAGAAAGGGTAGAAAACAAATAAGAAAAAAAGTAAAGAAAGGAAGAATGACAAGAATTATAAAAAGAAGAAAGCAAACGAGGAACTTCATAAAAGTGAAGTTCTATAATACCTTTCCCAGCCAATGGCGGGTTAGAACTCTCTTTTCATGGGAGATGGACGAAGACAACTTTAAGAACATTAGCCACAAGAGACAAAAACACAACTGACCATCAAACTACAGAGGAAGAAGAGACACGCATTAATGACTATAGGAGTATCGTATTACAGTAGACATGGTGTATACATGTAATTGATCAATTATACGCATTAGTACGTATTACAAATAAAATACAAATAAAATTAGTAACAGGTTCAAAATGACTATAACATGCATACATGAGCTACAATACACTAACATCAATGATACACTATAACATCAATGATACACTATAACATCAATGATATACTAACATCAATGATACACTATAACATCAATGATACACTATAACATCAATGATACACTAACATCAATGATACACTAACATCAATGATACACTAACATCAATGATACACTAACATCAATGATACACTAACATCAATGATACACTAACATCAATGATACACTAACATCAATGATACACTAACATCAATGATACACTAACATCAATGATACACTAACATCAATGATATACTAACATCAATGATACACTAACATCAATGATACACTAACATCAATGATATACTAACATCAATGATACACTAACATCAATGATACACTAACATCAATGATACACTAACATCAATGATACACTAACATCAGTAGGAGACTGAATGAAAGAAGACTCCAACACTTGATCCATAGCATCAGTATCATCCATCAAAGCCTTCAATGATAATTGTACTCTGCATAATGCATTGTAATGACTAATACTACCCCTCCCTCCATCTTTCTCAGACAGTAAGAGCCCTATAAGTTGCTCCTCCATTGGAGTCTCAGTGGATAATAGTTCAAGGATACTGGACTGTGAGGCTAGTAAGAAAATGAATGATTCATCAGTAGAGAGAACTGACAGTAATGAGAGAGGAGAGGATTGAGGGATGGGACCATTTGGTGACACCTAAAATAATAAATACACACACATTGTATACACAATTTATTTAAAATAATGATTAAAAGTGTAAACTAAAAGGTTATTTAACTAAGTCCCATTATATAATAATTCTAACCATGCAGTATTATACCATTTATAAATGTACTAAATACTATTAATATTATAATTCAAAGAGACTGTGTTAAGGCCCCCTAGCAACATTTGTGGTTACTTTGATCTTGTAAGCAACATGTTGCCAGAACTATAGAAGGCTGTTCTATTTCTGGCAACATGTTGCTTACAAGATCAAAGTAACCACAAATGTTGCCAGCAACGTGTTGCCTAGTGTATGAAGGCCTTAATGAACATGAATCCATAGCCACAGTAGGTGGTGGACAGTAGTGACTCACGTTAGTAATAACTTGTTCTTCTATTGAATTCCAATAAGTTATACATTCACCATTAACTGTTGGAGTGTCTTGTCTCTTTTTCTTTTCATCTGAAACTGGGTTAGTTAAAAGTTCGAGCTTTAACAGCATCTCCATGCTAAACAATACTGCCGATTTTAGATCACAAGATTTCTAATTAAAAAGCAGCTAGTTACAACAGCCAAGCACAAGTACAGTGCTAACTTGTGATAGCTCTTCATCTTTCTCTTCCAGTTCAGTCAAGAGCTCTTTAAACCACTTACAGGCAGAGCCCCAGTCCCTCCTGTGGTTTTTATGATCGTAGGACTTTCTCTTCTCCTTTTTTCTATTCAATAATGTTACTTCACTAGTTCTAGCTAGGAGTAATAATAAATGAACTACTGGTTCTTGATGATTGAGAATAATACTGGAATTAACAAGAACCTAAATAATATTAGGAATAAATGAAGAGAGAGAGAAAGAGAGAGAGAGAGTGAGAGAGAGAGAGAGGGGGGGGGGGAAAGAGTTAACTCACTAAAGCTGTCATGGACCAGTGTATCAGGATAGTTAATACTTTAACAATAAAAATGTCATTTTCTTGTGAAAAAGAGAGTGGGACCGACTCCATGATCTGTAAAAATAATAATAATAATATCCTCTTCTAAGTTTCCATTCAGCACTCACCATTAGCGATGGAGTCAAGTGTTGAATAAAAGTCTCCAGTTTCTTAATAATTCTCTCATCATCACTAATGAGACACTGAATAGGAGGAGAATTCACTTCGTCATCGCACGACAAAATATTCTTTATGACTTTAGAATACCTATACAAGAGAGAGGGGGGGGAAGGAACAAAGCAGAGGACAAAAGGATAATAAATTAAAGGATAAAGGATAAAGGATAGAAGGATAAAGGGTGAAAGGAGAGAGGGAGAAAGGAGAGAGGGTGAAAGGAAGAAGGTATATGAGACACTATATATGTATGTGTGATTGTTGATATACTGAGGTGATTCAATTAACATACTTCTTAGGCCAGAGTGAATACATGTGACCACTGACACACTTGACCAATGAAACATGTAATGACTTCATTTGACTATAAGAGTCTGATAATAGCAGCTCCTGTATCACCCTGCACACCTCATTAGAATCAGAATCAGAATCAGTATCAGTATCAGGATCAGGATCAGTGCATTGAATCAAGGATTTGTGAATAATGGTAGCTAGTTGATCAAAGGGAGATGAAGAAGGGCAGGACTCCATCATAGAATAAAGAAATGGTAAATTTTTAAACAACAACAGATGAACTGCAGCAGTGACATTAGCAGCATTAATACTCAGGATCTGAAATAATACATGTAGAATAAATAATACTACTTTAAAGACAAATGCAAATCTCTTTCACTCTAAATCTTTCTCAAAGTTTCCTACTTTAATTTTAAAATCTAATTAATCCAAAGAATTATCTCCTAAGTTAGGCAAACCAGCTCACCCAACACCCAATAGCATATTTGCAAATTGTACTACCTTTTGAGGGACAAATGAGCTGTGCTTGAATACAAACATTATGCTCAATATTCAATTAGCAAGCAATGAGTGATGAGGTTATGTGTACATACTGAATTTTTTAGACTGTACATTATAAATAATGTAGTTAGCAATATACAACTGTACCTGTCCATTCCAGTTAGTGAGAGATGAAGTGGATGAGAGAGGAACTGAGAGCAAGTGGTTTAATGTTCCTTCAATTTGTAGGCTTGTCTCTTTTGTAAATCTCAGCTCCAATACACACAAGCACCTCTAGAGACGAAGGAATAATGACCAGTGGATATGTGTTTAAAAAGTAACAAAAACTGAGGAAAATTTTAAAGCTAATTTTCAGAAAAAAACCATAGGCTATAGCCTTGGGTAATTTTCAAAATTTTGGCATTTTCTTAAAATGGCCGTAACTTGGAAAATTAAAGTCGGAATCACCTCAAACTTTCTACACAGCATAAGGACATCAATATGCATTAGAAAATCTAATAAAAATTTGGGGTGATTTCAGAGCCATTTTTTCGAAAATACCATGGGCTATAGCCTTAGGTATTTTTCAAAATTTTGACATTTTCTTAAAATGGCTGTAACTTGAAAAATTGAAGTCGGAATCACCTCAAACTTTCTACACAGCATAAGGACATCAATATGTATCAGAAAATCTAATAAAAATTTGGGGTGATTTCGGAGCCATTTTTTCAAAAATACCATGGACTATAGCCTTGGGTAATTTTCAAAATTTTGACATTTTCTTAAAATGGCTGTAACTTGGAAAATTGAAGTTGGAATCATTTCAAACTTTCTACACAGCATAAGGACATCAATATGTATCAAAAAATGTAATAGAAATTTGGGGTGATTTCGGAGCCATTTTTTCGAAAATACCATGGGCTATAGCCTTGGGTATTTTTTTAAATTGGCTTATAAAAATCCAATTTTGATTGATATGTCAGCTTCAAAATGCATCAGAAAATGTAATAAGAATTTTGTCGATGGTACACATATTTGATTAAATGTTTTACCATTAAATATTCAGAGATAGGCAATAGAGTGGATGGCATTGGTAAAGCTTCTCCATTATAAAGAAGACACAGATCATTAGTAGGTGACCAGCTCAACTGTACTGAGGAATGATTCATCCTTTTAATACTCTCAGCTCCTCTTTCAATGGTAGAGACTGAGTGATAGTATTTTGTTTGGATTAATTGAAAATATAAAACAGCCGGGAACAAGAAATCAGCCTAAAAGAAAAGAAAAGAAAAGAAAAGAAAAAATTAATAATAATATTATCACTAGTGTTTTGTTTATTAAACCACTCATTATTATTGTAATTCATCATTGTCAATTTAATAATAATAATAATAATAATAATAATAATAATAAATTAAGAATATGATGCAACATGTAATTCTAATAATATGTGCTAACTGGTATGTCATTTCATCTCTCAAAATACATCAAATATCAATAGTATTGAGTTACGTACACCTTATCTAATTAACTTTTAAACTGTACAAAAAATGCAATCATATAAACATGTTTAAGTGTACAGAGTTTTTACTTACATTCTGGAGTGTTGCAAGAAGCAATGGAGTATACACTTCATTGACAATACCTGTCAGTTTCTCTCTCATCCCTTCGTGCTGTCTCCCTTTACAAAAGAGGTCCAGTGGGATATTACTGATGAATAAAGAGAAAGCATCCATAGACATAAGGAGGCCAGAGAGTACAGAGGAGGAGGAGGCATGTGGAGCTATTAAGCTTGAGCTATTGCTTTCTCTCCTTCTCTTCTTGGCTGATGATCTTTTGGTAGCGGTTATTTGATCTACCAGTGGTAATTGAATCTCTTTGAAATGCTTGAGGAAGCTATCAAATATCTCAAGGGATTGTGCAACAGGTAAAATTCTCAATAGCATTGATAATCTTTAACAGAGAGAGGGAGAGGGAGAAAGAAAGAAGGAGAGAAGCAAGGCAGTAAAAGAGAAAGGGCAAAGAATATGCTTTCATTTAATTCATTACATTTTCTCTGTGGATTGATAAAATAACGGTTTAATTCCTAATTGCTTTACTGCCTCTTGTGATACTTTGATAGACCCAAGAACACAACTAAGAAATAATGGTATCTATAAGAAAAATATTACTATTATCATTATTATTAAATTTATTGTTTACCTGACGTAATTTACCATAAAACGATGCAACAGTGTCAGAAAAATTGGCAATAAACTATTAAAAAATAATATCAAATTGTCCCCCCCTCTCTCTCATAGTTCACTCACTTTTCCATTTTCCACGAGCTCCTTCGGTAGTGTAAGTAGCAGTGACCAGATATCAGGGAGTAGCGGCTCTATCAGTAAATGATTGAGTCTCAACATTGATTCAAGGCACATAAAAACAGTGTCAATGTTACTAAAAATAAAAGCAATAGAAATAGAAAGTGAAGAAATAGTAAAAGATGCTAAGAAATTGACTTAAACTTTCTATAGAGACATCAGAAAATGATAGTACTAGCAATGCATTACTTGAGTGTAGTTTTCATTGAAATGATGTTTGAAAGTAGTTGAAGCTTTTGGAATTGTCCATCATCTTTATCTTCAGTGATCTTCAGCATAAATTATTATAAAAATAACACAATGATTGTTATAGGGAAAGAAAGGAACAGAAGTGGCAGAAAAAGGGAAGGAGAAGAGAAAATAATGACATGTACATGTACATGTACCTGGTATACACCATACTCTTTAAGCAGTGACAATAATTTTCCGATATTATCTAACACAGGATCAGACTCAGAACCAATCACTGATTCCATCATCAATGAAACTTGATTTATTGATCTCAAATGACTTTTACTCTCGATATAATTATCAACCACAGTCATATCTTCCTCTCCTTTGTTCTCTTCTCCTGTCTCCTCTTCCTCTCTCTCTCCTTCCTCCTTCATTTCCTTGGAAACCATTGCCATGGTGATGTGAACTCCCAGTGTTTGGAGAAGTTTCAAAAAGAAAAGAAACTCCTTTTCTTTATGTAACTTTCTACCAGTTACCCTAATCATAAATAAACACAAGTCCTGAAACCTTTTAATCGTTATTGTACAGCTCAAAAGATTTGAGCTAAATAGTACTACATATTGGTATAGCCAGAAACTTTTGAGGAATTAAATTTTCATAAATCCACCAAAAAAAATTTTTGTAGATTTCATTTTTGTGAACAACATTCTGCCGTCTTGTACCGTATTAGCTGAATTTTTGCAGATTTTAATTTTGCTAATCTTAACAAAATTGTAACATCAAAAAAAGTTAAGTTCCTCAAAAGGCACCAGCTATACAGATTGTAATATACATGACTTACTTGTTCTGTTTGAGTAATATTTCAAACATAAAAGGTAACGCCCCATTCACAATTAAAGACGAAGAGTGTTCGGATATTTGACTCAAAGTATCAAACATTTGATTAACAAAACTGGTGGGTGTGGCCAAGCCCAAAGTAGGTGTGGCTTCAAGTGCAAGTACTGAACCATATTCGGGTAAAAAATCACTGAAATGTAAAAGGTGACTTTTTGATAATATTTCATACACATGTAGTACCTTGTAAATAAATATCCTAAAATATCTTCAATTGATGATCGAAAGGTTTTGTCTTGTTGATGGACCAAAGACAAAAAAGAAGACAAATTATTGCAAATACTGGAATAGACCTAACAGAAAATGGATCTATTAAATTATAATAATTGCAAAAAATTACTACTGAAGGCTTTTTATTTTGATTGGAATTTGTACCAGAAAACATAATGACATTAGTAGTTCCATGTCACAAAATCAGCAACAATTTAAGCAAAAACCCATTAGTTTCGTTGTCATGATATCCGTGACAAGCAAAACCCATTAGTTCCGTTGTCACAAAAGCCGTGACAAGCAAAAACCCATTAGTTCCGTTGTCACGAAATCCGTGAAAAACAAAAACCCATTAGTTCCGTTGTTACAAAATCCGTGACAAGCAAAACCTATTAGTTTTGTTGTCACAAAATCTGTGACAAGCCCAATTTTGAAGCAACTTAAAAATTTGTAAAAAAATTCCAAATTTAATCGGAATCAACTCAAACTTGCTACACAACATAAGTACATGTATATGCATCAGAAAATGTAATAAAAATGGAGAATTCTCTTCTTGTCAATTTTGCTAAAATTTGGCCAATGACCATGTACTATAGTACAGGGACTTTTACCTGATTTTGGAGCAACTTTTAAAAATTCGTAAAAAATCAAAATTTAATCGGAATCAACTCAAACTTGCTACACAACATAAGTACATGTATATGCATCAGAAAATGTAATAAAAATAGAGAATTCTCTTCTTGTCAATTTTGCCAAAATTTGGCCCGTGACCATGTACTATAGTACAGGGACTTTTACCTGATTTTGGAGCAACTTTTAAAAATTCGTAAAAAATCAAAATTTAATCGGAATCAACTCAAACTTGCTATACAACATAAGTACATGTATATGCATCTGAAAATGTAATAAAAATGGAGAATTCTCTTTTTGTCAATTTTGCCAAAATTTGGCCGGTGACCATGTACTATAGTACAGGGACTTTTACCCAATTTTGGAGCAACTTTTAAAAATTTGTAAAAAATCCAAATTTAATTGGAATTAACTCAAACTTGCTACACAACATAAGTACATGTATATGCATCAAATAACATTATAAAAATGGAGAATTCTTTCCTTGTAATTTCCGCCGAAATACCCTGCACTATAATACAAGGCAACTTATCAAATTTAATTTTGATTGGAATCAGCTCAAACTTTATAGCACTCAATTGTTGTTATCATTATCATCATTCTCCTATACCTTTCTTGGATTGCTATGGATACGTTGCAAGTAGGACTGGTGCTTCAAAGCAATGTTGATCAGCTCAACATTATTATAACAAAACTGGACGTCACATAACAATGCAATAACTAGTGGCAACTGCAGGAAAGAATGAGAAGAGAAAGTGAACATACATTATAAAGAATAAGGAGAGAGAGAGAGAGAGAGAGAGAGTAGGGAAGGGGAGAGAGAGGGGTATGTGTGCCTAATACCATCAAGTCATGTCTCATGATTACAGCTGGAACTGGTCTCCATAGAAATATAGCCTCTACACATTTAAAAATGATATTCTTTGCTTCTTCATCTTCCATGCCTTCTTTAATAGCAACAGATAATATCTAAATGTATTAAAAATAATAATTAATTAACAGTACATAATCATGAAAATTTTAATAGTATTTAGCCCTATACTGTACTTCAATGAAAAGGGGTGTAAACGTTATCCATTCTCGTTCTTCATCTCTAATATCTTTCAAACAGTCAACAAGGAATGACCAGCATCTACAGAGATCTCTCCTTTAAAGTAATAAAAATAACAAAATAATAATTATATAATACACACCACTACTACTTACCTCTTTATTTCAATCTTCTTAGATTTTTTGTCTATGAAACAATTAATAAAATTAATTTCAATGACAGTAAAGAACTCACTTTTTCCTCCATAAAGACTGATCAACAGGTCAATGCTCCATTGGACTAGCCCAACACGTTTCCCTTTATCTTTTCCAGCCTCTAAAGAAGACCATATCTGTGCAGCTGTCTTCAATCTCTCCTTTACACCCAAAGAGGATTCATTTATCTCAGCCCACATGGCAAAGCATTGAATCTAATGACTGTCACACCCATCAAGCTAATCAAAATGGAGTAGTTTTACAGTTAAATTTCATAATAATAATAAATGCATGTAATACATTAGAAAGTAAGAGAGTTTGATGAGAGGAATTGATGAAAGGTTTGATTTTCCAAGAAATCATTAAAAATCTAGTGGACTATCTTGCATCGAACACAATTACTAAAAAAAGAATAACATTATAATGATCACAATTATAAATAATAATATTTGCACATAAATCATACACAATGAATAGTATTTCATTTAATGCTTCATAAATAATAGCAAGACTCTTGATAATAGTAATTATTAATTACATTCCATTTGATGTATGCACCTCAATCTCATTTCCAAGCATCGTTATTACTAATAAAATTTTTTTAAATTAAATTAAATTTTACTTCTTTTTGTTCTCTTCTTGTACAATATCCTGTAGCCACACTGGGTGCACCTTATTGGATCACGCGGTCTTATCTCGTTCTCCCCGTGACACTCTACAAGCAGAAAATGCAATACAAGTTTATATATCAAGCTATAGGCTACCTCCACATATGTAGATAACTGGATTACGTGAAGAAGACGCGCCTGGTGTATTCCCTGGGCCTGGAGTGCTATCCGCCATTTTTAACTACATAGATGGCTGCTGAGCTAACGCCCACGCAATTGCAGGTACTGTTTTAAAAATCAAAAATTATACTCTAATCCTTGATCCATTGTGCAAAAATGAAGTTTCAATTTTAAAACAAGAGCTTACAAGCAAAGCTTAATCACATTATGAATTAAAATAATGCTAGGTCTAATAATACAAAGGACGTGAAATTTTTAATGTAAAAACCAATTGAAACTTGGTAATAAAAATAACATCATATCATAATTATATAACAATACACATTGAAAATTTATATTTTACTCGTTCTCTCTCTCTCCCTCTTTGTTAATCGCACATGCAGTTTCTCTTCTCTGCATGATACTGCCTCTGTAGTGTTGTAATGGTGTCATTATCTTGAAGGGAGCCTTCATCAAACTGAACCATTAGATCAGACAAATCTCTGTAAATAATGAAGAAAAACCACTTTAATAATATCAGAATAATCAATAAAAAATATATATATTAAGAACTTATTAAAGTATTGGCACATTTTTCAACCAATTTACAGAATGAGTGTGGAATTTTTATAATCCTAACCAAGGCATATAAACAGCCATTTCATTTTTAAACCTTCTTTTACCTTTCTATATTGCAAGTATAAAACTAAAAATAGCATCAGCATGCGTATAACTATATTGTATATGTGCAGTGGCATAAACCTCTTAAAGGAAAAATAAAAAAAAACTTGGCATCATTTCAATGTTACTCGTTAACTTTACTTGGCAAATTGAGCTATAATAATAATAATAATAACTATTATGCCTTACTCAAGTGATACTTGCAGGTTAACATTCTCTTTTACTGAGGTCTGAAACCAACCACTGAGTTTGCATTCCTCAGTAAGAGTATCCAGTTCCTCTATGCTCACCGAATGAATGTGCTTTGGTAGATCAAACTAACAAATGGAAATGAAGAGATATAAAGAGGTAGCAAAGGCAGAAGACAAGATTTAAAAGGCTTGCAAACATCACAAAAACATTCCATTACCTTATTCACCAGTAAGATACAAGGTGGTAATTTTGTTAGTACTTTATCTGCTTCATTCTTCCATATCCTCACAGCATCCACTGTAGCCTTTCTTGTAACATCACACACTATTATAATGCCAGAGCTACCTCTAGCAAACTGTGGCATTAAACCACGGAATGCTTCTTGACCTTATATAGGAATTATTTATCATCATGGTTACTTGAATATATAAATAAAACTTACCTCCAATATCCCATAACTTGATAATAGAGCAACAACAGGAAGACATAAAAAACAGAAATAGAAAAATGAGTAAAATACAACAAGCAAAAGGATGTAGCATTTGGAGTAACAATTATTTCAGTTAATAATTACTGAGTGACATTAAAAGTGTGGGGGAGAGAGACAATGTATGTGAAAGGAAGAGAACATACTGCTAATCTGATGGTTGTGCTTTCTCCTCTCTTGATAGACTTCACAGCACAATCGACTACATAATGAAAGTACAATGACATGCCAGTGACAGAGAGAGAGAGAGAGAGGCATTTAACATAGTCCAGTTTACTTATCCACACACTATCTCATCATGTGACAAGCTATACTAACTAACTCATTATAATGGGTGCACCAGGCAATGATGAATAGACACATTTCAATATTGCCTTTGAATGATGCCAACTAGATGTTTGATAAAATTATATACAAATTCAGACAGTAGCTTTATACCAATGATCCCATTTATTATTGAGGCAGTTTATAATTGCAAAACAAAAGACTTCTCCAATCCTGTACAAATACCTCATTGCCATTACATGTATTATCATTCGATTGATTTATAGAGGTGACATAGTTAACATGAAACAATCTAACACGTATAACAATGCATTATGACTGATTTCACCTCCTATAGTCGCTTTGTGATCGCTGATAAACCTTCCCTCCGTAACACGAGCTATGAAAGAGGTCTTCCCCACGGCTGAGTCTCCTATAACGATCACTTTCTTTGTATATTCCAAAGGCGAAGAGGCCATTTTGCTCACAGCAAATATTTGTGGGAGGGGCTCAAATCATTGTGCAAAGAGTAGACGTGGCGACTTATTTATTAATAGGTGGGCGGTGGTTATAGGTGGGGCTAGTTTGCTGAAAGTGTTAATGTTGTCGTCTTGTTAGCCGATCAATATTAAAGTGGAGTATGTGCGAGTCAGTGTTCAAGGTCTTGTTAATAGGAGACCATTCCGTCGGGAAGACCACATTCGTGGCCAGCTACGTGCTGAATAAGTGGGTACCCAATCTCAAAACGACAGTAGGAGGTAGAGAAACGAATTATTGTTCTTTTCATTAAAAGCATTCCATTGTATTTCTGTTGTGTTTCAGCTGATTATGCAGTTAAATCCGTTAAATGGTCAGAAACTGAAACAATCAGATTACACGTAAGTGTTATTGTCACATGCTTGAGTCAGTTAGAATGATGATAATGATAATAATCGTGATGTTTTTCTCTCTCTCCTCCTCTTTGCACTCTTCAAAGTTGTGGGATATAGCAGGTAAGCTGTATAGATTCAGTACTAATGTGCATTCATTATCATCTCTCTCTGTCCTCAGGTCAAGAGAGGTTTCACTCAATTGCAAGGACATACTTCAGAGGTGCTTCTGGTTGTGTGGTCATGTTTGACGTGACAAACAATAAGAGTTTTGAAAGTGCACGAGAATGGAAGCAGGAACTCGATTCTAAAGTTGAGCTTCCAAATGGAGAGAAAGTACCTTGTGTACTACTGGGAAACAAGGTCAGTATAAAAGCAAGGGTTTTAACAGTTGCATTTCTATGCTCTCGTGTTGTGTATTTATTTTATTTGTTTATTAATACTTAGAGTCTTTGTTGTTCAACTTTTGTTGAGTGTGTATTCATCACTTTAGGACGATTTGGTAGACAAGAAGGTAGTCACTCAGTCACAGGTGGACAAATTCGCTAGAGAAAATGGTTTCATTCATTATTCGTTCTGCTCCGTCAAAGAAGGAAAGGGAATAACTGAACCAATGAGGTTCAAAATACATAATTATTACCAATATAACTACCTAAAGAAATTATCCAGCTGTGGATTTTAGAGAAATCATGTGTTCACATATTTTAGGAGTTTTTCAATCAATGTTTATACAGATGCAGTTGTTATAGCAGCTTTATCAAAGATTGATAAAAACAGCATGAGAATGTGACTTCTTAAAAATCCAAGGGCTATTAGAGATAACATACTCTTGTTATAACTCACTAACTTTTACTTTTTGCTCTTGTCCCCTTTGTTTTATTTGCTAGTGAGCTTATAAAGTGCATGTTGGAGCAAGAGCATTCTTCTGGTGAGGTCCTACAGGCTTTCGATAGACTAAATCCCGACATATTCGAAGAACGAAGTAACTCAGGGTGTTGCTCAAAACAATGATGTATGATTTTTGTGAAATGCTTTGATATTTTTATTGTGTTATAAAATATGAATGATAGCTATTATCAATACCTATATCATTTTATTATGATTGTTATAAAATATTATCATTAAAAGTTTTCAATCAGATCCACTGCCATTTCCATAACTTCGTCATACACTTCATCTAATGCCGCAACTGTTACGTGAAGGAATTTTAACTTGCATCCATTTGCATTCTCCTTCCACGATTTGTGGAGCAAATTCCATAGTCTAATCGTGTTCTTTGTCTCCAATGGCTTCACATGAGATGAATTCATTGTAAGCCAGACCCCACTGGTGTTCTCCTTGGTTAAAAGATAAGAAGCATACTTTTTTATCAATTGTACAAAGTTCAGTTCCAAACGTGAGAGACACGAAGGAGGAAGTAGCGAAAAGAACATGGCAAAGAAAGCTTCAAGGTCTGTCAACTCCTTGAATATATCTGGTAGAAACCAGTCCATATCAAAGTAGCTTAAAGACTGAGAGGAAGCTTCCAAGCACTTTTGGTAAATGGAGGGTGGGAAAGCATTAGCAAGGCTCAGCTCCACTTTCTTTACATTACCAACTAGGAGTGGTCTCAGTGCCTCAAATTTCTCCTCATCCAAAACAATCCTTTCTATCCTAACGGTATCGACAATGATCTTCAAATCTGATGGTATCAGAATCTTCTTTGTAATGTACGTAAAAGAGACAGTGTTCAATCTTATCTCATCGAAAGCTGACAGAGCAAAGTGAAGCGGTTCAATGTCAAGGAGACGATAAACAAACAAAGACTTGTTGCAATTTTGAGGCATCACTTGCTTCTCAATCTCTCCGTTGCTGCTACCACTGACTTTTATATTACGGAGTGTCACAGATTCTTGCATATCAGCTGAACATTTAGCTGTGGTCAAGTAAGACAATATGAGGCTTACAAACTCTCCTTTATCAAAGAACAATCCCTGGAGAATCAAATCCTGGAAGACTTGGCTCTTCTTGTAAAGGTCACACAAAGCTGGCCCAAGGCCTAATGAAGGCTCTGGGAATTTCGGTCTCACAATTTTGAGATGAAGAGTAGTGAGGCTGTGATATAAAGAGGGCAATACGTCTGATAGCAAAGATAGACATTTAATATCACAAGCATGCATGCTAATGGAGAGGTGCTTCAGTACAGGCAGTGATAAAGCAACTGATTGGATGAGACTTGAAGTAGAGACACTAAAAGGCGAATAATTGCCTCCATCTTCCTTGAGAACAGCTGGTGGTAGAAACACTAATGTCTCAAGCTCTGAAGAAAAAGACTCAAAAAAAGATCGAAAAGATTTGCTAAGATGCGGCAAAATTTTTTTAGAATCAGACTCGC